CCCACCGTTCCCTCCCCCTCCACCCTTTCTATTCTGTTGTGACTATGCAAGTTCATTCAAATCAATCACAGAATGAGATTAAGCTTGGATTAAATAGAGATACAGGGAGTTCAGAATACAGATACAGGGTGTTTGGAAAACAAACACTAGAATACAGATACAGGGAGTTCAGAACACAAATATTAGAATACAGATACAGGGAGTTCAGATTACAAATATTTGAATACATACAGGGAGTTCAGAATACAAATATTTGAATACAGATACAGGGAGTTCAGGATACATTATTAGAATACAGATACAGGGAGTTCAGAATACAAATATTAGAATACAGATACAGGGAGTTCAGAATACAAATATTAGTGATGTTTTATTTTAAATTAGCTGACTAATGATCTATTCTGAAAAGGACAAGGTTTCTCTCTCTAAATTGGATTTTGGTTTTAGTTAGTTTAGAATACAACGGTTACTCTTAGTAATCCTAGTAATCTTACAGGGATTACATATTTTCTCAAAAAAAGAGAAAAATATTTGAAAATGCTTTCCTATCGTTCTAATTATCGTAAAATATTTTTTACAATTTCTATTTAAAAAAGTATGCTTGCTTTTTTATTTTATTTGTTAAATAATTCTAAATTTATTTGTTCCTATTTTTTAATAAATATAAATATTTAAATTTCACGTTGTGTTGAGAAAATTCAGTCACACCTCGCTAAATTTGTGATGTATTGCTATATTTGGTAAATATACAATAATTTACCCCCCCCCCCTCACCTGTTCACATAAATACATACAAAAAGATAAGATTTATTGCGTTTTTACAGCACGATTCTTTTTTTGTTGATTCATGTTACACGATCTTTTGATAATACCGCGGTTAAGAGGTAAATGTTGATTATTTGAAATGTTAATGTTGAACTTGTGAAAACCGAATTCAGGTGTTATGCTTCAGTTGGTTTAATAGGGTTGGTCTAATATAGAGAATTTAAACTGGGCTGTGTTATCATTGTGGTTGATTTTCAAATTTCAAAATAGATTTTTGGGGTTTGAGGTTTGTAGGGCGGGTGTGGGACTTATTTGGTGGTTTATTGTCGGTTGGTTAGATGGTTCCTGGGTTGGTTGGGGGATTGTGTTTGTTAGTTGGTTGGTTAGTATCGAGTTGATTGTTAGGTTAGTCGGTTGGTTTCTGAATTTTTTGGTTAGTCGGTCGATTTGTTGGTTGGTTGGCTGGTTTGTTGGTTAGTTCGGTTATTACTGGGTTGGTTAAGCAGATGATCTGCTGGTATATTTACAGAACATCTGGTTTAGTCTCGTGTTCATTGTTCTGATCCTCTCCAGGTTCAACAATACACCTAGAATATCAGAGTTCAGTTTATCATTAACAATTCTCAAATCTTTTATTCCGGAGAGAAAGGAAGTATTCTGAATATAAACTGTACGGAATGCGGCAGTATGGGAGGGGGGGGGGGTGCATTGAATGTATTGTCAAGTCTGAACCCTGCTCTGAATCCTCTTTGAATAGAAAAATTTCATTTCTATTCTGTGTCGGGGTTCTATTAATCGTTACATAGATAGATAGTCGAGTGCTCAGATAAGGTTTCAAAGTAAAGAATATTACTCTTCAATCCTTGAAGAACATTATTCTTCTCTCTCTACACACCTGTACGCTTAGTTAGTTTATATATTAGTTATTAGTATTGCGGAGGAGGGGGGGGAGGGGGAGTAATTAGATTGATGATTATAAGATTAGTTTAGAATCGATCTGTTTATCCCGTGATCTAATTTGTTGTTCTCTGTTTCAGGAACCTACACCTGTGTTGCATTCACTGACTCTACGGCCTCTAATCCAGCAACCGATTCAGGACTACTCATCGTATCCGGGATACCCCCAGTCCTTGCTCCTCTACCCCCCATACCTCATCAGCTAGAGGGAGGAGATATAAACCTAGAGTGTGAGGTTACACAAGGATATCAGAGTCCTCAGATATCCTGGTTTAAGAACGGACTACCCATTACAAGTGAAAATAATGTGAAGATAAATCATGGAACCCTGAGTATAAAAAAATCTGTTCCAATGAACTCCGGAGAATACTCCTGTAAAGCAGTTAATGACTGGGGAACGGATATAAAGGGAACTAAGATCTGGATCAGGAAGAGAACTCAGATCCTGAGTCAACCTGTATACGTGGAGTACAGTGCAGGGAACGGAGTAATGTTGGATTGTAATGTTGAAGTTGACGCAAGCCTGAGAAACAGTCTGAACATAAACTGGTTCAAGGGAGAGGAGATGCTCCGAGTCTCCACTGTATCCCTGGTTCCTCTAGAGAACAGTGTCATGTACGATGTTGAGGAGGAGGAGGAAACCAGGTTCATGATGCATCAAAACAACTCATTACAGATCTTAAACCTACAAGAAGAGGATCTTGGATTCTACAAGTGTCAGGCTAGTACGGAGTTGGAGCAGGTTCTCAGGAGTGAGCCAAGTCAAATCTATCTTGCTGCGAATTTCCCATACTGGATCATTATCCTCATCCTTGTTTGCCTGATCGCTGTCATGATCCTGATCATCTGTGTATGGAGAGTAAGAAAGAGGAACCGTGGTAAAGGATATTACGGAGTAAAGGATGTAGAGAAGAACGGAGGAAAACACAATAAATCAGATATATACTACAATACAGATGACGTAGATAGTATTATGAATGAGCAGGACAACAACCCCAACACCTCAACTCCTAAATTCACCCCTAAGACCATCAGACATCTGTCCAACACGGAGAAATCTGTCGGATCAGTCAGTAGCTTAATAGAGAATGAGGATGAGCGCCTGGCTAGAGGGATGGACGAGGATGGTAGTTTCAGGGAGAGATATTCGGATTAGTTCCTAGTCCTGGATACTAGTTCCTAGTCCTGGATACTAGTTCCTAGTCCTGGATACTAGTTCCTAGTCCTGGATACTAGTTCCTAGTCATGGATACTAGTTCCTAGTCATGGATACTAGTTCCTAGTCATGGATACTAGTTCCTAGTCCTGGATACTAGTTCCTAGTCCTGGATACTAGTTCCTAGTCCTGAATACTAGTTCCAAGACAAGGATACTAGTTCCTAGTCCTGTATACTATACATTAGTACTGGATAATTACTTATAAATACTCAAGTGAGAGAAAGAACTCTTGATCCTCGGTAATGAGAAATATTCTCTCTTAAGTTACCATCATTAGTCGGATTCTTCCCAACTGTTAAAAATATTTTGGATCAGTTAACCTGTTTCTGATTGGTCGCATAGTGGACCAATCACAGAGGGGAATTTTGTTTATATTTCCATTTGTCAAGATCTAGACAACTATTGTTCTCTGTACTGTACATTTACTTTTAGTTCGATTAGAAAGTCGTCAAAACATTGTTAAAAGAACCTCATGTACTCACTGTACTGTACTGTATGCTGAAGATATATATTTATGAAAAATATGTGTAAGTCGAAAGACTGGGCTGTGATGTAAGTTTGAATAAAAAGATAATTCTAGTTTTTTGTTTAATACGAGTGTAAGAGCGCTAGCCGCTAGGATTAAGAGGATACTTGGATTCAATTAGATTAATTTAAATCTCGAGATATTAAGATATGAATATTATTACAACAAGCTTATTCAGCATTCAACCGAGCTACTTATAAAGCGAGAATTCTTTTTCTTAAAGGGACTGTAAGCGTAATTGCAAGTGACTATCCATGCGTAGATGGCAACGCCCGATTCACAACTGTACCCTTATAACCTTGATCAAATCAATAATGTGGAAGAGATTTTCGTTTTTCTTGGCTTAAAGGAGTTTAATTTTGAAAATACCTACCAGCGGTAGAAAGTCTCTTATGCAGGAAAACCACAAGTGTAAATAATCAGTTTACAATCTATCTAATTCATACATAATCAGACACCGATTTTACGGGTAACGTGAATCGGGCATTGCCATAGTTGCAATTAGGGAGGGAGGGAACCCCCGGACACCATGAGCCTCCTCTGTGCAGACACGAGGCTCCTAGATTTGCTTGGCAGACTGAGCCTCCGCTATACGGAATAGTTTCCTTAAGAATCATGACTAGTAAAGTGGTCTATAACCGTGAAATATTTTTTATGCAAAAAGGAAAACGTTTAGAGACTAAATTTTGAAAGTAATTTTATTTGATATTTTATAATATTTGATTCAAGCGATACCTTTTTCGGAAATTTTTATCAGATTAAGATAATTAAAAATTTGATTTTGACAAATAATCTAAATCTATATAAATTTTCCAATAAAGGTATTGCATAAAATCAAAGATTAACGAAGGAAAATAAGTTCTATTAAGAAATGAATTACGGCGTAAGAAATGTTTTATATTGTAAATCATAAATCTTAGAAACAAGAAGAGAGACGAAGATATTGAATATTAGTCTGGGGGCGTATTTAAGGATCTAGATTTAAGGGGCTAGGATATTTTGAAACCCTGAGAATTGTTCTGAAATATTTGTAAACGTTGCATTTATTACAATCAATACGCAACAATGATTTCCAAGTGACCACTAAAGACACGCATTTACCCTTCTAGTTATATAAAGCGGTTCAGTTATCATCCCAGTTTCCCCAGTTAGTTACATATAGAACGCAGAAAGGAAAATGAAAGTTCTTTTTGAGATTTTAATCGTGATACAATTGCTACAGTAATGAGTACAAAAGTTTCTGTTACTTTCAGAAACCTTTTCAAGTTTAGTTTATGAATATTAAATATGTCCTCCTTGAGTATACAGTTTACTCCGTACTTCAGATAAACCTTGAGCATACAGTTTACTCTGTACTATAGGTAAACCTTGAGTATACAGTTTACTCCGTACTACAGATACACCTTGAGTATACAGTTTACTCCGTTCTACAGATACACCTTGAGTATACAGTTTATTCCGTACTAAAGTTAAATCTTGAGCATACTGATTACTCCGTACTACAGTTAAACCTTGAGCATACTGTTTACTCCGTACTGTAGGTAAACCTTTAGTATACAGTTTATTCCGTACTACAGATAAACCTTGAGTATACAGTTTACTCCGCACCATAGGTAAACCTTTAGTATACAGTTTATTCCGTACTACAGATAAATCATGAGTATACAGTTTACTCCGCACCATAGGTAAACCTTTAGTATACAGTTTATTCCGTACTACAGATAAACCTTGAGTATACAGTTTACTCCGTACTACAGATAAACCTTGAGTATGCAGTTTAATCCGTACTATAGGTAAACCTTGAGCATATAGTTTACTCCGTAAAATAGGTAAACCTTGAGTATACAGTTTACTCCGTACTACAGAAACACTTGGAGTATACAGTTTACTCCGTACGATAGGAAAACCTTGAGTATACAGTTTATTCCGTACTACAGATTAACCTTGAATATACAGTTTACTCCGTACTACAGATAAACCTTGAGTATACAGTCTACTCCGCACTACAGATAAACCTTGAGTATACAGTTTACTCCGTACAATAGGTAAACCTTGAGATACAGTTTACTCCGTACTACAGATAAACCTTGAGTATAAAGTTTACTCCGTACTACAGATAAACTTGGAGTATACAGTTTACCCCGTACTTTAGGTAAACCTTGAGTATACAGTTTACTCCGTACTACAGATAAACTTGGAGTATACAGTTTACTCTGTACAACAGGTAAACCTTGCGTATACAGTTTACTCCGTACTGTAGGTATAAACTTGGAGTATACAGTTTACTCCGTACTACATATAAACTTGGAGTATACAGTTTACTCTGTACAACAGGTAAACCTTGCGTATACAGTTTATTCCGTACTACAGATAAACCTTGAGTATACACTTTACTCCGTACTACAGATAAACCTTGAGTATACAGTTTACTCCGTTCTACAGATAAACCTTGAGTATACCGTTTACTCCGTACAATAGGTAAACCTTGAGATACAGTTTAATCCGTACTGCAGATAAACCGTAAGTATAAAGTTTTCTCCGTACTACAGATAAACTTGGAGTATTCAGTTTACTCCGTACTATAGGTAAACCTTGAGTATACAGTTTACTCCGTACTACAGATAAACTTTGAGTATACAGTTTACTCCGTACTACAGATAAACCTTGAGTATACAGTTTACTCCGTACTACAGTAGGTAAACCTTTAGTATACAGTTTATTCCGTACTACAGATAAACCTTGAGTATACAGTTTACTCCGTACTACAAATAAACTTGGAGTATACAGTTTACTCTGTACTACAGATAAACCTTGAGTATACAGTTTACTCCGTACTATAGGTTAACCACGAGTATACAGTTTACTCCGTACTATAGGTAAACCTTGAGTATACAGTTTATTCCGTAGTATAGGTAAACCTTTAGTATACAGTTTACTCCGTTCTACAGATAAACTTGGAGTATACAGTTTACTCCGTACTACAGATACACCTTGAGTATGCAGTTTACTCCGTACTACAGATAAACTTGGAGCATACAGTTTACTCCGTACTAAAGATAAACCTTGAGTATACAGTTTATTCCGTACTATAGGTAAACCTTGAGCATACAGTTTATTCCGTACTACAGATAAACTTGGAGTATACAGACTACTCCGTTCTACAGAAAAACCTTGAGTATACAGTTTATTCCGTACTGTAGGTAAACCTTGAGTATACAGTTTACTCCGTACTACAGATAAACTTGGAGTATACAGTTTACTCCGTACTACAGATAAACAATGAGTATACAGTTTACTCCGTACAATAGGTAAACCTTGAGTAAGCAGTTTACTCCGTACTACAGATAAACTTGGAGTATACAGTTTACTCCGTACTACAGATAAACCTTGAGTATACAGTTTACTCCGTACTATAGGTAAACCATGAGTATACAGTTTACTCCGTACTGTAGGTAAACTTGGAGTATACAGTTTACTCCGTACTACAGATAAACCTTGAGTATACAGTTTTCTCCGTACTACAGATAAACTTGGAGTATACAGTTTACTCCGTACTACAGATAAACTTGGAGTATACAGTTTACTCCGTACTATAGGTAAACCTTGAGTATACAGTTTACCCATAGCCCAAAACCTAAGACAGGGTATCGTTATGAAACCCAGTTTTAAACCTGGGTTTCACGAATGGGGTTAGGCAGTTTTGTTAATATCAATATTTTTGGTTTGAAATATTATTTTGTTTTTCAGTTTGTTTATATTCTCCATTTTTTCGAATCTCTTAAATCAAACTTTACACAAATGTTAAGACCCCAAACAGGTAACTCTTGAGTTTCGTTCAACGATACTCTTTTAAATTTCGGGCTCTGTGCTACAGATAAACCTTGAGTTTACAGTTTACTCCGTACTATAGGTAAACCTTGAGTATATACGGTACTACATCTAAAAATGTTTTAAAACATTTGTCTAAGTAATTTGAGCCTAGATAATTATATCTTATAAAATATCTCTGATAAAACTCTGATACACCTATCACCGATCCTATTACACGCCAAATTAGAACAAAAAATACAAAATACTTTGGAATTTATCCTTTTAAGGGATTGTTCATATATTTGATGAACATGTGGGAGGTATCAACCATTGAATATAGGATTTTAATTTTGATATACCATGGGGACTCATAAACTGTTGAATATGAAGACGACATTTAACAATCTTGTGTGAATTTAAGCAAATAGTTTTACTAGTATAGTTTGAAAATTAACTAATATTATTTGTGAAATTGGTCTGTGAGCACTGCACAATTACTGTGTTTCACATTCATTCGACTATTTAAAATCATAACTTGGGTCTAACAGTCGTCTTCCTTATCCGCTAAGAATCGAGGAAATGAAAAGTATGTGATTTATTTTAGATAAATGTTTTATTTAACCATTTTTTAATATTTTAAAGATTTAAAGAATAAGATGAAACTGTAGCAAGAAGAACTTTATCAAAAGTATATTTTGGTATTTACATTAAGCAACTATTAATGTAAAACTTTGAAATTCTCGCAAATAAAAATAGTATTTGAGTCAAAATATAACGATAATATAATAACATAATAACATATATGATCTGCACCATTATAAATNAATGGCGCGTTATCATAACGGTATTGATGATATAAATGAAAGTATTTGGTCGCGGGATTCGAATAGACAGTCATAAACATTGAATACTGGATAGGAATAGTTTTATTATTTTCTCTGTTCTATTCTATTATTATTGAAATGACAGTTTCTAACATTCCAAACTAACCTAGGTCGGAACTTTTGTGTCAAGTATCCTTGATCTTGTACGCTTGACCTCGATATCAAATGTGGACACTTTAATTTAAAGAAATGCTTGATTCCTTAATTAAAGTTAGACCTGCAGGGCATAACCACCACGGTACATCGAAGAGGAATTAAAATAATCTTTAGTCTGCAGAAAATAGAGATCAATTCTTGATCCTAAGATTCACAACACAAAATTGCTGACTTCGGACCTGGTGACTCAGGTCTCGTGAATATTGAGATCAATGCTAGATCTCGATATTTTGTTAATCTGCAGATTAATTTAATCTTTATTCAATATCCCACATAGTAATCTTACCCAGCCAGGGGTTGAATGGAGCTTTGATCAGGGGAGGAATAACTGAAATGACAAATATGGAATACTTATATAGTTATTTTATATACATCCTCAAATTAAAAGTGCCTACACTGGATATCGAGATCAAGCGATCAGGTAAATGAGTATTCAACAAAGAAGTTGCCAGCACAAATCAAAAAGTTGTTCAACACAATCATCTTTATACTCTGTATCCTCTGTACAATTATCTATACTATACTAAATAATATTCTTGATTAAACCCAATCCTGATTAATAATTTATTTATGACCGAAATAGTCTTGTCCTAGGTACTAATGCAAGGAAAGTTAATTGCGGTCGCGTATACTCTGCGTGCATATTGAAACCAGTTCTCTCTGGGCGGAATTTGTAAACAAGAATATATGCACCAGTGTTCGTCTAGTATTCGAGGAGGAGAAACGCATTTAATTTTGATAATTTTGAAAATTCACATAATAGTTTCTTATGACCAGAATATTTCATAGATTATTTTGCGAAAATGGATTCCATGTCAGGCTGTGACATCCGTCTTGCGTTTACTTTTTCGCCCAAAGACAGTACATGCAGTGCAAAAAATGCGTACACCTCTGAAATAACTTTCCTTCCATTAGTACCTTGGTATTGTCTAAGTATTTTGAAACCTTAAATGTTTCCGAATGAAATTAATTCCTGTAAAATGTTAAAATAAAAACATTTTTATTAATTTCTATTTTCCAGCTATTAATAATATTACTCTGTTTAGATTAGATACAATATCTCTTTGTGACGTAGAAAAATTATATGAATTATAAAAGATCGTATTTTTACTTAAACGCCTATTAAAAACTATGATTATGCAAAGGAACGAACAAGAACGTTTTATTACCCCTCCCCCTCCTACTAAACCCTATTTGGTGCATAAACTGATGTATTATCTATATCTAGTTTCAAGCAAACAACTGTATTTTAGAGAAGATTTACTAAATCCCCCCGCCCCCTCCCCTCAGCTCCGGCTGGTGTGAGTTACAAACTAAATACTTTTTCTCTAAATATATCCAAGCTCCCTATTACATATTATGCTGCAGCACACATTTATCTTTTAATCCTTACGTTTCCCCTCTCAATGTCCATTCAACCATTATTCAGTTCCAATATCCGTCCTGTCCTCTCCTGTAATATAACCGTCCTTTTCAGTAATATATTCGTCCTTTTTCTGCAATATATCTGTCCTTTTCAGTAATATATCCGTCCTTTTTAGCAATATAACCGTCATTTTCAGCAATATATCCATCCTTTTTAGCAATATAACCGTCATTTTCAGCAATATATGCATCCTTTTCAGTAATATATCCGTCCTGTCCTCTCCTGTAATATAACCGTCCTTTTCAGTAATATAACCGTCCTTTTCAGTAATATATCCGTCCTTTTTAGCAATATATCCGTCCTTTTCAGCAATATATCCGAACTTTTTAGCAATATATCCGTCCTTTTTAGCAATATATCCATATTTTTCAGCAATATATTCGTCCTTTTTAGCAATATATCCATCCTTTTCAGCAATATATCCGTCCTTTTTAGCAATATATCCATCTTTTTCAGCAATATATCCGAACTTTTCAGTAATATATCCGTCCTTTTCAGCAATATATCCGTCCTTTTCAGCAATATATCCGAACTTTTTAGCAATATAACCGTCCTTGGGTCCTATAGTATTTCTATTCTATCCAGGGATCGTTTCCGATAATTTGTTCTACTTTTTGTTAAGAAAAAAATATTTGGAGTTGACATTGAAGTTAGATCCTTTGTTATACATATTGTTCCCAGACCTCCTCCCCCCCTTGCATTAAGTCTCATCACTTAAATACTTTGTTATGAGTGTAAGCTCCTAGTATGAATTATTACTCACAAGTTTTTACACATGTTTAAGTGAATATGAGAATGTAATCCTATTGATTTAAAGATTAATAGATTGGTTTTGACTTATCCTCTTATCTTCAGATCTTGCGATACATGTAATTTATAATCGAGGATTAATGTTTCAGCAAAGGATTAGAGGACTGGGTGGTGGAGAGAGGATTAGCCCTTAAAAACCAACCAGTATTTACATTTCAAGAAGTTAAACGGAAAAAAATATTGTCAAAATTGACAAGTCTGATGGAACAATTATCCATTCGAATCCCTGTAAGTCGTCAATGTATAGCGAGACCAAAAAAACTGTGGAATAGGAAGACGACATTTAAGCAATATTATGTGTAACCAGCTTTACCTGGAATGTAAAAATCGTTTTACTTAGCTTAACATTTTTAAATCAAATAAATATCATTCTCGTGGTTCTACGGAGTTCCCCAACCAAAATCTTAGGCAAATCAGTTAAGGGGTTTGTGAGTTATGATGGGACGTACAAACAAACAGACAAACAGATAGAAATTAAAACTAAACTCAACTACTTTAAATGTAGATTAATATTATTATAAAGCAGAAAATTTACTACGTAGTAGCTTGAGAATCAATTTATTAAATATGTACAGACTGCACAATCGTTGTGTTCCATGTTCATTGGACTCAGAGATTAATAACAGGGTTGTTGTGAACGAAAAACCCCTAAATCTTGAAAAGACTACATCTTGTGTTCTATCTGTTTTGTTATTAATCTATGATAAATAACATGATCATAGTAATACATAAGTGTATTTGATGTTGTTACAAAGAAAATAGTTTTACTACATAGATAAAGGTTTACCCACATAGTACGAGACTTCAGAGACGACTGTACAGAATTTATTTAGTCTTCTTTTTAAGTTTAAGGAATTCTGCAGCTGTAAACTTGGCCCTTTCTTTGCCAAACTAGTTAATTTACCTTTCATAAAATATATTAAAGGCAGAAAGCCAAGTTCAACCTTTGAACTATTGTAATTAAAGAGTTTTAGATCGCCCTAAATCTCTCATCCTTTGTGGGAAACCCTGTATGGGGGTTCTTCGAGAAGTAAATTAGAACTAAGGAGAAGAGAATAAGGGTTATTTACAACATACTGTATCCAATTCAGACAACTCTAGAACTAGTTATATATATAGTTCCATATAGTTATATATATAGTTCCAGGTGGATCTTCCTTGAATCAGACAATCTTGGAGTACGTAATGTACAAAATATTAACGTTAAATACTACATATACATGTACTGTAGTTCATTCATGGTTCACTCTGTACAAGCAATGCTTTTGTTGCACAAGAAACAAGTTAGGGTTAGGGTAAAGTGCAAACCTATTTAGATAAATATATAAAGTGCATATAAAGTGCATATAAAGTGCATATAAATGCATATATAAAGTGCAAACCTATTTAGATAAATGCATATATGCATATATAGACATTTAAGAATAATCCATTTACAATTATCGTCTTGCTCTTTTAGACTCTGCCCTTAAAGTAAGTTAATTTCATCAGCATTATGTTAAGTATATGTCAAAGTTTTGACTAAAACTTAATCTTGTTATTCCAGAAGAATGTTGCTTATCAGGAACTTGGGAATTGGGAATTTATCTAAATTTTCATCCCGACAGTTCATCTCCAGGTAATTATTAGGAGTTCATGAACCTGTATATTCTTGTATCAGGAGAATATCAGGAGTTCCTGAACCTATATATTCTAGTATCCGGAGTATATCATGGGATCATGAACCTATATATTTTAGTATCCGGAGTATATCATGGGGTTCCTGAACCTATATATTCTAGTATCCGAAGAATATCATGGGTTCCTGAACCTATATATTCTAGTATTCAAAGTGTATCGGGGTTCCTGAACCTATATATTCTAGTATCCGGAGTATATCAGGAGTTCCTGAACCTATATATTCTAGTATCCGGAGTATATCAGGAGTTCCTGAACCTATACATTCTAGTATTCAAAGTGTATCGGGGTTCCTGAACCTATATATTTTAGTATCCGGAGTATATCATGGGTTCCTTAACCTATATATTTTAGTATCCGGAGTATATCATGGGTTCCTGAACCTATATATTCTAGTATCCGGAGTATATCAGGGGTTCCGGAACCTGTATATTCTAGTATTCGGAGTATATCATGGGTTCCTAAAACTATATATTCTAGTATCTGGAGTATATCAGGGGTTCCGGAACCTGTATATTCTAGTATTCGGAGTATATCATGGGTTCCTTAACATATATATTCTAGTATCCGGAGTATATCAGGGGATCATGAACCTATGTATTTTAATTCGGGGTTCATGAACATATATATTCTAGTATCCGGAGTATATCAGGAGTTCCTAAACCTATATATTCTAGTATCCGGAGTATATCAGGGGATCATGAACCTATATATTCTAGTATCCGGAGTATATTATGGGTTCATGAACCTATATATTCTAGTATTCGGAGTATATCATGGGTTTCTGAACCTATATATTCTAGTATCCGGAGTATATCATGGGTTCCTGAACCTATATATTCTAGTATCTGAAGTATATTATGGGTTCCTAAATCTATAATTCTAGTATCCGGAGTATATCAGGGGTTCCTAAACCTGTATATTCTAGTATTCGGAGTATATCATGGGTTCCTTAACATATATATTCTAGTATTCGGAGTATATCATGGGTTCCTGAACCTATATATTCTAGTATCTGAAGTATATTATGGGTTCCTAAATCTATATATTCTAGTATCCGGAGTATATTATGGGTTCCTAAACCTGTATATTCTAGTATCCGGAGTATATCCGGGGTTCCAGAAACTATATATTCTAGTATCCGGAGTATATCCAGGGTTCCTGAATCTATATATATTCTAGTATCCGGAGTGTATCAGGGGTTCTTGAACCTATATATTCTAGTACCCGGAGTGTATCAGGGGTTCCTAAACCCATAACAAAGCCTGATGTAGTGCACACTGGTATTTTCATCAACAATGAATGGCTGGACTCAGAGTCAGGGAAAACCTTCTCCACCATTAACCCTAGTACGGGAGAGGTATTGGTTATTTTTTTATTGAAATTGAAGTGAAATTATACTTACAGTCCCTGTGATAACACAAAACATGTTGATTTACTTGAATGTCCAAAACTCACCTTGATATCTATTATGCATTTTTTTATAAATAAAGAGAAGTTGTATTTCTAAAGTTTGAAATCGTCCTCATGGTTAAAATAAAATATTTCTAGTTTTTCTTGAATTTTGTTTGGTTTAGATAATCTGTGAGGTTGAGGAGGGAGACAAGGCGGATATAGACAAGGCAGTTGATGCAGCCACTCAAGCATTTAGGTCAAATTTAAAACAAAATTAGAGGTCAAAACTTTTGTACATGGGAATTCAGTGACGAATTGGATATCGTCTTTGTTATGAATTAACATTGTAATACCTAATTTCAAAAGCCATAATATTATTATGTTTGCTATAGTTTATTTTATGAAAAGGGTAAAAGACTGCAAAGATGTGTCTATAATGTCTCCGCAAGATGAACAGTGTAGACGGACAAGTTTACTCTGTTTGTATACTGCAATTTGCTTGTTTTACTAAGTACAACCGTATGCAGTCAAAACATAACAAACAAAATGTGAACATAGCAGACGAAACTCTTAACAGATTAGAGCTTTCTCAGTAGGTATCACTATACTAAATCAAAGAATTATTTAAAAAGACGATATCGAATTCGTCACTGAATTCCCATGTTTATTGGGACACGCTGTATGATAAAGCGCTTATTTGCCACAACTAAACTGGAAACTTTGCGTGGTTAAATGCGTAATCCGCAAAAACAGACAAGTTCTCCTTGGTCAAGAGTAGGTTTTTTTGTGACTCCTGATTGGTCGATGTTTCCAGCGTTATAAAAGATTCTTAAAAGGAATAAACATAATCCATGAATGCACAAGTGAAACGGATTAATAGTACAAAATGTCCTACTTCTGATCTTTTTGCTTACTCTTAATTTTATTGTTTACATATTTATATATTTTGATTATAGCATAATGAACGGAATACTTACCCTGCAGGGAGTAAGTGAACCACAAGATCCTACTGAGAAACCTCTAGACCTTGAACCATTTATACTTATGCATTTATACATCAAACATGTTGATAATGTATTCTAATAATTCCGAATTGTTAGGTTGGGAAGTCCCTGGAGAACTATGGATGCATCAAAGAGAGGAAATCTGCTCAATAAGCTCGCAGACCTCATGGAGAGAGATAGGTTCGTTTTAGCGGAGTAGTTTACTGGAGATATATGTTAGTTCTAGGGGAGTAGTTTACTAGAGAGATAGGTTCGTTCTAGTGGAGTAGTTTACTAGAAAGATATGTTAGTTCTAGTGGAGTAGTTTACGAGAGAGATAGGTAAGTTCAAGTGGTGTAGTTTACAAGAGAGATAGGTTCGTTCTTGTGGTGTAGTTTACAGGAGATATAGATGAGTTCTAGTGGTGTAGTTTACTAGAGAGATATGTTAGTTCTAGGGGAGTGGTTTACTAGAGAGATAGGTTCGTTCTAGTGGAGTAGTTTACTAGAGAGATAAGTTCGTTCTAGTGGAGTAGTTTACTAGAGAGATAAGTTCGTTCTAGTGGAGTAGTTCACTAGAGAGATATGTTTGTTCTAGTGGAGTAGTTTACTAGAGAGATATTTTAGTTCTAGTGGAGTAGTTTACTAGAGAGATAGGTTCGTTCTAGTGAACTTTTTTCTAGAAGAGTAGTTTACTAGCGAGATAAGTTCGTTCTAATGAAGTAATTTACTGCAGGGAGATAGGTTAGTTCTAGTGGAGTAGTTTACTAGAGAGATAGGTTAGTTCTAGTGGAGTAGATTACTAGAGAGATAGATTAGTTCTAGTGGAGTAGTTTATTAGAGGGAGATAGGCGTGCTCGAGTATTCTAGTCCATCTTTGTGCAAAGAAGAAAGTTTTAAAACAAATCAGTCCTCTCTGTCCCGATAATTTGTAATTGCATATTCAAGAAAATTATGCATCTCCAACCAATATAAAAACTTTGATTATAAATATGTTACGCACTTATTCATTGTTTTTTCTCTCTCTTACTAGAATTAGGGTTTGTAATAATTTTACTTATCAGGGTTCTGTTGGCATCCCTTGAAACCCTGGATAACGGAAAACCGTATTTGACCTCCTACCTAGCTGACCTGGAACTCAGGTTTAATATTTCTCCGGGTTTAAGCTCTACCTGGAGTTAGGAAACTAAGGAATATTGGATTTTCTGTTAAATTCAAATCCTTTGTTGAAAGATTATGCTTAACAAAAACTTAAGTATTATAATCCGTCTAGACTTTAAAACAGACGGCGTATGAGGGGGGGGGGGAATGCAAACTTAAGTAAGTTCTAACCAACTTAACGTTTTTAAGTAGGAGATGGTGTTTTTTTTTGTTCTCCTGCATGTTAAAAGAAATTACTTGTAAATCATCCTTTTCATTTTAATCTAATTGTTAACTTCAGTGTTTAGCTTATGCATATTTTTTAAACCTTTCACGCATATAAAATATATAGACTTTTAAAATCAAAGTTAAAGATCTTTATTCATAGTAATCCACAATGTGACAATACTTTATTATTTTTCACATTTTAACTGATCTTTTTTCTTACTTTTAAATTGATACCGTGGTCAGCATATATATCAATATACTAAAGTGCTGATATAAAACAGAGACTGACAGTATCCGGTACTACAAAGTTCTACATAATAAAGAATGCAGTCGGTATCAGGTCTTGAAATAGCATTATATCACCCATATCACTGTATTGATATTTATGCTGACTACTGTATTAAATTGAACTAAGATTGTTTATTTTAGTATAAAATGTTACCGTTACTACGCTGGTTGGTCGGATAAGCATCATGGTAAGGTGATATCTGTGGATGGAAACTATAACTGCTACACTAGACATGAACCTGTCGGAGTAGTTGGACAAATCATACCATGGAACTTTCCTCTCCTTATGCAGGTGTGAAATTAAATCCAGGTTTAAAAGAACTGGTTTTAGGAAAAAATAATATGAAGGATTTATAACACATTACGCATCCATGCCCTCTCATATGACCTATAAACAAAACTTACCTACTTTTTTTCTGACCTAAGAATTTTAATAACTAAAAATGTAAAATGAAAATGTGGAGTCGAATCAAATCTGTAAAATTGTGTGGTGATTTAAAACATAAAATAACAATGACAACATGTTCCTTTTGATCTTGAGGATCTTTAAAATCAAAGGACGTAAAATATACAGAACTATTAAATGTGAAGACGACTTTATAACAATACTTTAATTTATTTGATGTTGCTACGAAGCAAATAGTTTTACTTTATACTTATTAAGTCACTATAATTAAGTGAAATGGGACTGTTTACACTTCTAAATTGCTGTGTCCATTGCTTATTGGACTATTTAAAATCATAACTTGAGCCTAAAAGTCGTCTTCCTATTTCAGAGTTTCCTGGTTATCATGGAACTTTTACATAATTATGTGGAAAATGTTGCGAAAATTAAAAATCTAATAATGGTAGGCGTGGAAGCTGGGACCCGCTCTTGCCACTGGGAACTGTGTTGTTCTTAAACTGGCGGAGCAAACACCACTGTCAGGTTGATTATATCTTTATAAATTGCATATCTGAAATGGAGCTACCTCCAATGTCTACCTAAAAATATCTCTCCCCTAACCTAACCTGGAAGGTTATAATCACGAGGTTGCTTTTCACTTTCATTCAATTTTAATGATTTAGGAAAGGGTAAATCTAAACAAATATTGATAAAATATAAAACTTTGATGTTTCTTTTTTCCTTATACTTAATCGTCGTCTTAATTCTACTTAATCAATGTAAATTTTACTGAGATATTGGTACAACCTGAGTTCTCTTGACATGGCACAGGAAAAAAATCTCGTTCTTTTTCTGTAGAATAAACAGTTTTCTATTCCATTGTTAATGGTGCAATTTGTTGTTTCAGTCGGGTTCAACGAAGTTGTTGCAAAATGTCGTATTCTTCGTTCTGATTTATGATTTATATTATTTCTAGGATTTTATTCTTTTCATCTAATGAAACCTTTTATATTAACAGAATTAATTAAAATTTTACTTTTATCTAGGTCTGCACGTAGCACAGCTTGCCAAGGAGGCAGGGTTTCCTCCCGGAGTAATTAATGTTGTCCCTGGGTTCGGTCCTACTGCCGGAGCTGCTCTAGTAACCCATCCTAACGTGGATAAGATCGCGTTTACTGGATCAAAATTGTATCAAATGTTTCAAGATTTAACCCGGCGCTGAATTTAAACCGGGTTTTGGCGGATTTAAACCGCGGCTCAAATTCTTTAAATTCCATCTCTGGAACATTATAATCACGAGGTTGCTTTATTTTATCCACTTTCATTCAATTTTAATGATTTAGGAAAGAGTGAATCTAAACAAATATTGATAAAATATAAAACTTTGATGTTTCTTTTTTCCTTATATTTAATCGTCGTCTTAATTCTACATTATCAATGGAAATACATGGCATTTGAAATAATCTCGTTCTTTTTCTGTAGAATACATGGTTTTCTATAACATTGTTAAATGGTGCAATTTGTTGTTTCAGCCGGGTTCAACGAAGTTGTTGGAAAATGTCGTATTCTTCGTTCTGATTTATGATTTATATTATTTCTAGGATTTTATTATTTTATTCTTTTCATCTAATGAAACCTTTTATATTAACAGAATTAATTAAAATTTACCTTTTCTCTAGGTCTGCACGTAGCACAGCTTGCCAAGGAGGCAGGGTTTCCTCCCGGAGTAATTAATGTTGTCCCTGGGTTCGGTCCTACTGCCGGAGCTGCTCTAGTAACCCATCCTAACGTGGATAAGATCGCGTTTACTGGATCAACAGAGGTGGGAAAACTTATTCAATCTGAAGCTGGACAAACATTGAAGAGAGTTACTCTGGAGCTAGGAGGAAAATCCCCGAATATCATTCTCAAGGTACAATGAGATACTAGCAGAGATTAATCTGAAGTCTGATTCTTGGTTGAGTTGGTTTGGATGGGTTTTAAAAGAGGAGCAGAAGAGAGTAATGAATATAGGGATATAATCGTAAAAGTAAGTTAGGATAAAAAAAATAGGAGTGGATGAAGTTTCAAAAAGAATTGATAAGTAGGACAGGGGAAGAATACAGTAGGATAGAGTTAATGAGTAAAATATTAATGAAGAGTAGATTATTATTTTAGAGTAGGATGGGATTAAGGAGTGGGACAGGATTGATGAAGAGGATTGGATTAAAGAGTAGGATTGGATTGAGGAGTAGGATTGGATTGAGGAGTAGGATTTGATTGAGGAGTAGGATTTGATTGAGGAGTAGCATTAAATTGAGGAGTAGCATTGGATCGAGGAGTAGCATTAGATGAGTCTAAAAATTGGATTGAGAAGTAGGATTGGATTAAGGAGTAGGATTGTATTGAGCAGTGCCACTATTATAGAGTATTTAACTAGGATGTGGATAATACAATATTTTTATACAGGATGTGGATAATACAATATTTAACCAGGATGTAGATAATACAATATTAAACCAGGTTACGGTATAATACAATATTAAACCAGGATGCGGATATTACAATATTTAACCAGTAAGCGGATAATATAATATTTAAATAGGATGCGGATAATACAATATTTAACCATGATGCGGATAATACAATATTTAACTAGGATGCGGATAATACAATATTTAACTAGGATGCGGATAATATAATATTTAACCAGGATGCGGATAATACAATATTTAACTAGGATGCGGATAATATAATATTTAACTAGGATGCGGATAATATAATATTTAACCAGGATGCAGATAATACAATATTTAACTAGGATGCGGATAATAAAATATTTAACTAGGATGCGGATAATACAATATTTAACCAGGATGCGGATAATATAATATTTAACTAGGATGCGGTTAATACAATATTTAACTAGGATGCGGATAATACAATATTCAACCAGGATACGGAAAATACAATATTTATCCAGGATACGGGATAATACAATATTTTACTAGGATGCGGATTATACAATATTTAACTAGGATGCGGATAATACAATATTTAACCAGGATGCGGATAATACAATATTTAACTAGGATGCGGATAATTCAATGTTTAACCAGGATACGGATAATACAATTTTTAACCAGGATACGGATAATACAATATTTAATTAGGATGCGGATAATACAATATTTAACTAGGATGCGGATAATACAATATTTAACTAGGATGCGGATAATACAATATTTAACCAGATTCCTAACCCTGGAACTTGCTTCCTAGCCCTTTAACTTGCTTCCTCCCCCTGAAACCTGCTTCCTAACCCTGGAACTTACCTCCTAACCCTTGAACTTGCTTCCTAACCCTAAAAATTGCTTCCTAACCCCGCAACTTGCTTCCTAACCCCGCAACTTGCTTCCTAACCCTGCAACTTGCTTCCTAACCCTGCAGCTTGCTTATTACCCCTGAAACTTGCTTCCTAAAATCGCAACAGACTGTTTGAACCCCACCATATGTTGTCATCATTTTTGTTGATTTTATGTAACTTAATTATACTCTCAGTGTTCAGTTCAGTGCAAAACAAGATTTTTTTTCAAACCTTTAATTATATTGCCTACATTCTTGTTTTTTCATTGATGGTTATCTTCTTATTTTTTTTAAATACTGTAAACCAGGAGATCGTGTCTAATATCATATATTTTCTTAATATTATCAAACAATTTTTTCTGTTATTTACAATACTATTTTATGTTTTGAGTCGAGTAAGAAAATGAAATTGTTAAAATAAATTGCCCCGAGTCAGTAACCTTGCTTAATAAATATCTATTTATAAAGCAGTAATCTTTGTTCTTCTGTCTGCTTGTTTGGATGTCCCAATCTTGATTGAGGAAATCGTTGAACGACAGAAATATTCATTTTTTTGTTATTTTTATGAATTAATCTCTATATTGAGAATATCTGCGTAGAGTCCATAGATTCACTTATTAACTATTTTCATCACTATTTTTATTCAAACAATGTCTCCAGCATTTCGTTTGTAATTGTTTTCAAGCGACTAAGGATTTCTAGAGTTTTTAATTTCTCCTGGCAAACTGTTCCGTAAATTCATTACTCTTTGACTAAAAAATTGGATCTCACTTCTAATCTCGACCGGAAGAGTATCCAACTAATTCAAACCAAGTATCACTTGATGCATCATCAAAACCATGGATAATGTTGTACGTTTGCAGCATGTCGATATATGTTCTTCTGTTCTCCAGTTTCAGTTCTAGTTCTTCCCGAGAGCCCAGATATCATATTGACTGCTCTACGTTGAACCTGTTTTAATATATCTTTATCTGCAGCTGTCCAGGGACACCAAGCAGACACGGAAAACCTCGTGGATTAAAAGTTTTTAGTTGAGTGTATTGACTTTAATAGGAAAATCTCTTTTCCAGACAAAGCTGTGTTTTCAAGCTTGTTTTTAAATAAAGGTTTCGTTTATTATTGGAATATATTTTACAAATGATTTTCTTGCTAAGAAATGTGAAAACTGATTTATAAAAACAAATCAAGAACTGTATGTATCAGATTGAAAGAATTAAGGTTATTATAAAACAACTTTTATTTGACAATACATGTACTGTTCTGAAAGAACTTAACGTAAAAAACGTAAAAAACTTGAGTTGTTTTTCAACCGGTTAGACTTTTGATCTTGTGCGTTGCCATTTCTTAAAACATTGGTTAGTCAAAAATTTACTTTTTCACAGAAAAAAATTATCGAAATTGTTTTAATGAAATTTCATCAAAAAGTCTCGAAATACTCGGAAACGTATATTGCCGGTAAAATTCTCAGTTCTCCCTGGTAAATCCTCCCTGATAGTAAATAACTTTTAAATACAAGAATGAATAATTTTTATGTTGAAAAATTCGATGATTTCGTAATAAATGAAATGATAAATATGTTATGTAATTGTATTTTTAATATATTTGGAAAAGTATACCCCAGCCTAGTTTGTAGCTAGGATATGAAAGTTTTAAACTAAAATATTGTAAGAAATCTTGTTAATGGGGAAATAAGTTTAAAATATCGACTAAACCATAAAATATGAAGAACTTGGACCTTCATAATTTTCATTGTTTTTATAGCCAAGTTTTTGATAGAAAATATGGGGAACCATCTTAGAAATATTAGATCGATATCCAATTTGTTCTGGAACGTTTGTTAAAGATCCAATTTCTGTAGAACAGTTTCATATCAGACAAATTGGCAACATTCAACAATTCATCCTACTTTCTCTTCCCCACCCCCTCCACATTGCATCTTTCTCTTTCCATTTTCTTCTACCAACATTCCGCTTCTTTCCCGCTTTCTCTCTCAACAAAGGACACAAACTAGCCCTCTGTCCTATAATCCGTTTCATAAATCAGAGAAATAACCCTGCTTCCTTGTTTATGCATGTTTAAACTAGGCTGAGACGGATCATGGACCTCAGATAGACCTGGAGCAGATGGAGAAGATATTAGGATACATCAAAACAGGAGAGAAGGAAGGGGCAAAGCTTCTCACCGGGGGTAAAAGGTGGGAGAAGACATTTATTTAATAAACCTGCAATGTGTATTTCCGACTCTTGTTCGTCCTTAAATGCTTTCTCATAATTAGTACATACTGATTAGTGCGTCCTCATCAGTGCATCCTTTTTTTGCTAAATAAATTTGTTAAACGTTGCGAGCTAATATAAAGGCATTCCAAACTAGTACAGTACTAAGACGTTGTGACCTCGTAGCTCCTTTAGTTTGGATTTTATGAGAACAGAAAATTTGTTTTGTTAAATATTAGAAATTTACAAGTCTTTTGTTCTTTTCAATATCTCTTGAATAAGAGGAGTTATGTTTGAAAACAACAAGATTTCGAACATACGTTCTATTTACTTTAGTTAAACGTGAGGGACACGGTTAGCTTTATTATATTTTTATATTTCTGTTTCATTCAGACACGGAGAACAGGGATATTTTGTTGAACCAACAATATTTGGAGATGTAGAGGATGAAATGAAGATCTGTCAAGAGGAGATATTTGGACCCGTCCAGTCTATACAGAGGTTTAAAACACTGGATGAAGCTGTAGACAGAGCAAACAAGTAAATTCTAGATTTTAAAAAACTGATTTTTCTCCTTTCAAACAGACTTGGAAGTAGACAACTTTTTAATCTGATAGCAAAATTGGTGCTTTTAAAATGTTGTCGGTGACATAGTTAACGGGACTGTAAGCGTAATTACTACTGCAAGTAAACATATTGAAAATATCAGAATTAAACACTACCTAAAAAAACGACAATATTTTATTTTCCACATTATTGATCAGATAAAGGTTTCCAGGGGTGAATCATAAATTTCCATCTTGACACGGAGGGTCACTTGAAATTACTTTTACTGTCCCTTTAACGTTTGGTACAATTTAAATGTCGTCTTTACGCTTGATGCAATTAAAAATTATTGCAATTCTGGGTTTTTCAGACATCTTTTTGGACAAAAAAATTAAATAGATAGGGATTTTATTCAGATTTCATATTTCTCAGAAACTTTTCGATATCGGGCAAAAATAGCGTGGTTCATTTCACAATAAACAGTCGAATAACTTTGCAGGATTTTCTATATATGGGCTGAACATACACATAACAACAATACCACCACCACCGATATAAATATTGTCCAGGAACAGCTATGGGTTGGCTGGAGCAGTATTAACCAAGGATGTTGGGAACGCGATGTATGTGAGTAACTCCCTGAGAGCAGGAACTGTTTGGATAAACTGCTATAACGTTCTAGCTGCTCAAGCACCTTTCGGAGGGTAAATATTCCTTTATATTTTTGTATTTTGTTTGGGTGCGTCAAGAGTTTTTAGGAGGATGAAATAGGAAAAAAGGTTATCATATACTTTCTAGAAATTACATAAATAATTGTATTTACATCAAAGTTTTGAAACCTGTATTGGGCAAATAATATGCGAGATTATAAGTAACATAAGCTGTGTTAAGTTCACACTTTACGCTGACGTACACTCTTGTTTAACTTCAATTTGAACAGCATTTTAGAGATGAACACAAGGAGTTCTTGACCTTCGATTATCAGTCTAAGGTTCAATGGATACCGTTTTTAATCGAACATTCCCCTCTTTGTATGGAGAGAAACTTGAATTTACGCTGTCAGTCCCTTTTAGTTATTGAACGACATCTTTATACTGCAAATAATTATTGGAGATAAGAATATAAAATCTAGTTTACTGGTTCGATGAAGTTTGGAGTTTTCTAGATAAAGATCTAAAAAGACTCGAGAATATTGTAGATTATATAGAGTATTGAATCCTCCAGAGGAGAAAATAAAAGACTAGATAAAGGTGTAAAAACTCCTGAATATGGAAGTTTAAAGTTTCTTAGATCAAGATACAGTGAATCCCAGATATATGAATATATATAGCAAGAGTTTTTTTTATAATATTGTATTCTTATAATATTTATATTTCAAGACACATGATTTCGGGTAGTTTTCTAATACTTATATTTCAAGATACAAGATGTCGGGTGGTTTTCTAATATTTATATTTCAAGATGCAAGATGTCGGGTAGTTTTCTAATACTTTCTAATATTTATATTTCAAGATACATGATGTCGGGTAGTTTTCTAATACTTATATTTCAAGATACAAGATGTCGGGTGGTTTTCTAATATTTATATTTCAAGATACAAGATGTCGGGTAGTTTTATAATATTTATATTTCAAGATACATGATGTCGGGTACTTTTCTAATATTTATATTTCAAGATACAAGATGTCGGGTAGTTATATAATATTTATATTTCAAGATACAAGATGTCGAGTAGTTTTATAATATTTATATTTCAAGATACATGATGTCGGGTAGTTTTCTAATATTTATATTTCAAGATACAAGATGTCGGGTAGTTTTCTAATATTTATATTTCAAGATACATGATGTCGGGTAGTTTTCTAATATTTATATTTCAAGATACAAGATGTCGGGTAGTTTTCTAATATTTATATTTCAANGGTTTATTTATCTTTTCCTTCTCCGCTGGGAGGTTGCGTGACAATTTGTAACTCCGGTAATTATATGTCTTCTCCGGTGGCCCGGTTCCGGAGAAATATGCTGCTACTATCTTCCATGATTCCAAAGGGTGTGGTTCTAGAGGTGGTTCTAGAGGTGCTTTTAGAGGTGGTTCTAGAGTTTCTACAGGTGGTTCTAGAGCTGGTTCTAGAGGTAGTTCTAGAGGTGGTTCTAGAGGTGGTTCTAGAGCTGGTTCTAGAGGTGGTTCTGGAGGCGATTCTAGAGGTTCTAAAATGGTTTCAAGACAAATTCCAAATCATGGCTAAGAAATAGTGAAAAGTTTAGAAAAAGGTGAAATTAAAAAAAATAGTTACTATACCATGGATTTTCCCCCAGAAAATCCTAAAAATAACCCGAGATCTATAAAAAAAATACTGTTTACATCAAATAATCCCAATATCTTTGCAACCCAATATTGTAACAATTAGATATTTCTAAGTCAAGGTTCTGTTGGTACAAATAATCTAAGTTTAAAATATCTAAGTTTTAAACCGTCAGGTTGCAAAGATATAGGGGTTATAAAATTAGAGTTTGTGGCAAAGATACAATTTGTTTTAATGTTTCAATATTTTAATATTCCAAGGAACCATACATAGATTCAACCAACTTGAAATGCTTTCTATTCAAATATAAGCCTAATCCCAAACGAAAACGAGGAAACCCTTAAAAAGTGTGAAAACAAAGTTGTTTGTTACATCCCTATGTTTCTCTATTTGTATGTAGCTACATGTACACTTCAGATAGAAAATCGTTAATCCATTTAACCCTAAACATTTTTTCTTTAATTAATCATTTATGTTGATTATTTAATCGCAATTTTTGAGATAAAATAACAAAAAATGGGGTTTCTCCACAAACTGAAATTTTCTAGTCCAGCAAGATCTTTTCAACCTGATGGTGTGAACCTTTGATATTTTCTAATCCAGCTAGATCTTTTCAACCTGATGGTGTGAAACCTTTGATATTTCAAAACTTAAGACTATTTGATCTAACAAAACTCAAAGTTGAATAATCAAGGGTCTACGACATCGTGTTGCAAAGTTAAAGGTGTTAGAAAATTTGTTGAGAAAAACTCATTTCCTTGAGATTGTTACATTAAATGAGTTTAAGGTTGCCCTTTTCATCCTTGGTGCAGTAACTCTTATTTAAAAATGCTTCAGTTGGACAAAAAGTTATTAAAAATGCTCTTCAAAATTATTTCGTAAAAAAATTTAGCCCTGGTAATTTTTTTAAATGTATCCATGGCAATATACATACAGGTTTACCCACGAAGGATGAGACTGTAAAGACTACCCAAAACTCTAAAAAATATGACGATGGAAACCTTGACTTTAGGCTCCTGCGTTTGATGGTTTATAAAATGATTAAGCACAGAAATAGGCCAGTTTTAGCCTTAAAGGATCCCTGATTGTAAGAAAACGGACTAAACAATTCCGGTACAATCGTCTCTATAGTCTGATACTGTGTGGGTAACTCTATATTTAACCTTTAACTTCACACACAAAATTACGCCATTTTATGTGCAATGTTTAATTTGGGATTTTGGTTAATTATAAGGTTTGATTATGCAGCAGTTGGTATATTTGTTCCCCCTATAAGCGTATACAACTTTACACTAGTCCTAATTGGTACAATGTTAGTATTTCTAGTTGAAGGAGTGATATTAATTTATATAATTAATCCACTGTATATATATACCTTATACTCTATAACAGCGTATCCTCCGCTGCATGGAGGACATGACGACACTCTAGAGGCCGGTGGTTTGTGTGTGTGTCAGAATTCCACGTTTGTGTGTTGAATATTGATCCGAAGAAAATAGTTTCATACTTTTAATATTAGAATTTTATTCTTTAAATATGGAGAAAAAAAAAAAAAAAAAAATTTATGATTTTATTTATTAAAGCGTGGCCAGGTAATTATTTGGTTTTTATAATTTTTAAAAAAAATAACAAATATAATTTGCTTAAATTTTTGTTTGTTTCAAAACAGAGAGCCCATTTAAAATTTCAATGTTTTGTGAAAAGTTTGGAAGAATTGTGCATGGTATTACTGAACTCCGGAGGTTGGAATATGTGTGTTCTGGTATATTTGGGCCCCACTACTCTGGGTCTCAGTGTAGTGCTGTAGCTTATGTTTATCCGTCATTAAACTTCAATGTTATTGTTTCGTTAGCTCTTAGATTATCAATGTTTAAATGTTATTGATGTTTGCCAGTTTATAATTAGAAACAAAACAGGTAAAGAAATAGATGTTGTTTACATATTTTCTACATTTATGGATGATAGCAGGGGTTACGGGTTTCCAACTATTGACTATTTAGGATCAAATATTGGAGGTTACTGGCATTGCGTAGAATAAAAACAAGAAATAAAACTAGAATTGAAGTTCAGGTACGCTAAGTGTTACGTATTTTATTGTTTGCACATGGTTACGAATGAAACTTTGACGACCTAAAGGTTGAATTTGAAATTATCTACCAAAAATGACCCTGAATTAGATATTAATGTTTATAATTTTGTTAGCTGATTATTTTCAATCTACAGAAATGACTTGCGCATTTCTGCTGCAGGAAGACAAGTCAAAAGCCATGTACTTATGTGGCCGGTAAGCAACCCTCCAATAGGTCCAGCAACACCATATTACTGAAACAAATATTTACAGGGTAAAAATCACAGGATTTTTCCTAAAAGATTTGAAATCTAAAAATGTTTTGCATGCTGGAAAGTTGCTCTAAATTAGTTGTTAATTTATTGTAAGTCGCAAAAACATGTGTGGGCATTTTTCTAAAGATTTATTTCGCTTGTTCAACGGTTATCTTGAAACAGAATACAATGCATATATAAATTAAGACTATTACTTTATTTCTCTCTGATAAACATTAGATATCCGATATGTCTGTATTTATATTCTTATAGCCGATACAATACATGTATACACTACAAATCTCAGACATTTAATTTCCCATGTTTCCTTTTATCTTGCTCAATTGATACAATGTATATTAGTTTCCTCTTCTACACATTGACATATCTCATTTCCTAAATACATACCGTCCTGTGTTCAGCTTTCAACTCGGAGAAGAGGAGAGACCTGATCTAACCAGTCGCAACATGCTTTTCTTACAGAAAACAGAGTGTTTGGAAAAGGACGGATGAATTCTAACCATTTCTAGAAGATTAAGAAACCCAGAGAATATAATCCATAAAAAAGAAGTTTAATTAGAATCCCAGTACTCCAATACTACCCAGAGATGCCTGTGTTTGGTTCTCGAATGGTTTGTGAGACCGCCAGCTATAAATATATTGAGGAGAGGGATAGAGTCAATGCTGAGAAGGAGGAGTGCCTTGGCAGGTCAGTTTTCACGATTATTGCACATGGCAATTGCGTCATCACACATTTTAATGAAAAAAGAAATTGTTACCGTAGTTTTAAGTCTTTGTCTCAAAATCAAATTTTCTAATCTCTATATCTTTGCAACCTGATAACCTTTTATAACCTTTTACAATTCAAACTTAGACTTATTGATCTAACAGAGCTGAAAAGTTTAGAATGGTGGATATCGAGATCAATGCTTGATCCTATCTTTTTGCTAATCTCAAGACTAATTTAGTCTTTAGATTAATTTATAGAGAATAGAAATGCGCTTACTTTTGAAAAACCGGTTTTTAATTTCCCGCATTTGTGGTGTCATATCAATTGGACTAATGATCGATTGAACGAACGTAAGTTTTGATTAATATATATTGAGACTAACGTTCAAAAGGACTGTAGTCCTCAAATGTTTTTTAATAAGTTCATATTAACATGATTAAATTTGTATTTGTTTAAATGCTCTAAAAGCCGGCTTGTGAACAGTGGACTTTAGTTCAATCGGATATTAGTCTAATCAATATAGCATCGTTTCTGCATTTGTAATCAAACGTATCTTTATTACAATTTACATGTAGTAGGAAATGTGATATCCAACAAAAGCGGATTAAAAAAAAAGAAAATTCAAAGTTTCCACAGTGGATATTCAGATTAAGCGATCAGGATTTAGGGTATCCAATTCTAAAGTTTTCAGCTCAGATTACATAGTTAGATTTCTAAGATCTACGACATTGGGCTGCAAAGATATTAAAATTAGAAAATCAGAGTTTGAGGCAAAGACTCAATTCCTTTATCTCGATTATCTTTGTGTTACTGTGTAAACCTCGGTAATTTTCTTGCTTGTCCATGTGATATGAATAAGCAACGCTTCTTAGGAAAGCTAAGCCGTGGTTGCAAATTAGAATTAAGGTTCACTAACTCCTTTGTAGAATCAAATTAAAATATTTATATTCATAAATTTTGATTTAATTAATTATATTTATCAAGATTTAGATGGAAAGATAGTTTGAAAATTTTAACATTTAATTAGGAAATAATTTTCAGTTGTAACTGTCAGTATATTTTCAGTTGTAACTGTCAGAATATTTACAGTTGTTACTGTCAGTATATTTTCAGTTGTAACTGTCAGTATATTTTTAGCTGTAAATGTCAGTATATTTTCAGTTGAAACTGTCAGTATATTTACAGTTGTAACTGTCAGTATATTTTAAGTTGTAACTATCAGTATATTTTCAGTTGTAACTGTCAGTATATTTTCAGTTGTAACTGTCAGTATATTTTCAGTTGTAACTGTCAGTATATTTTCAGTTGTAACGGTCAGTATATTTTCAGTTGTAACTGTCAGTATATTTTAAGTTGTAACGGTCAGTATATTTTCAGTTGTAACTTTCAGTATATTTTCAGTTGTAACTGTCAGTATATGTTCAGTTGTAACGGTCAGTATATTTTCAGTTGTAACTGTCAGTATATTTTCAGTTGTATCTATCAGTATATTTTCAGTTGTAACTGTCAGTATATTTTAAGATGGGAGAAAGAGAAAACAGAAAGGTATGCTGCTCTTAGAGATCTTAAAGAAAGGATAAGACAAGGTGACAACAAACTTTTTTAAAAGTTTTTACTTAGAGTTGGTTTTCAATGGTCTCCAATAAAGGAATTGAGTCTTTGGAAATCAAATCAAATATTTAAACCTCAATATCGTTAGAGCCCGATGTTGTAAACCTTTGATATTTCAAACTTAGATTATATGATCTAACAGAATTCATAGTTTGAAATATCTAAGGTCTACAACACACTATAGTTTCAGTAGAAGTAAATATTTCCATTTACTGTTATAGCGCCGATATAAAGATTCATCTCTAATTGGATAATGAGCTAGAAAGAAAGATAGATGATACCGCCAAGCAATTTCTATTGGTTCATAATAGACACCAAACACATGGCTGAACCCTGATTGGATCAGGCGCTAATGGACTTGGCATACTAGAGTGAACATTTGGTTCCAAAGATATAGTGATTAGAAAATCGGAGTTTGTGGCAAAGACTCAATTCCTTTGTTTTAGGATCAGTGAGTGGATCTAGATGCGGTTCAGTCCGGACTCCAGACCGACTCCGGGGTTCTAGTTCTCAAAACTCAATCAGTGAAATCTGGAGTAATCATGAGGGTTCTCCAGTACCCAGAGAGGGAGAAGACAGCTTCCCTGATGTATTTCAGGACGGGGAAGAGTTCGTCGGATCAAACAGGTCTAGGAAAAACTCGATTCTTTCCAGAAAAGGTTCCGTCATCTCCAGGACAGGTTCTGCTGTATCCAGGAAGGGTTCCGGCATGTCTAGGAACGGATCCCATAGTTCCAAGATTGGGAGTAAAACGTCCTCTAAGAGGAACTCTGTTCGTTGCGTTGACTCAGCTGAAACCATTCCTGAGAACGGAGCAGGGAATAGAGAATTGGTAAGATATAATTATAAACCTTTAGTTTGAAAGAAAATTGACTGATCAAAGTACAGTGTGTCTGGTAATTTTGAAAGAAAATTGACTGATCAAAGTACAGTGTGTCTGGTAATTTTGAAAGAAAATTGACTGATCCAAGTACAGTGTGTCTGGTAATTTTGAAAGAAAAAAAATGCAGACAACACTTTAGAAATGGCTGAACTATAAAGGGTTATTCTGAGATCAGTGTTTTTAGAAAAATATCGCTAAAATTAGGATGAAAAATTAATGCCGCAAACAATATTAAAACCTAAGACGAGTTCCAATAATTCTCTGATTGTTAAGGAATTGCGATTTTTGCAGAATATCAGTGAATTTTTTCTAAACTGAATTTTCTATTTAATGTATTGATTAGTATGAACAATGAACATGCTCGGTAGACCATTGTCTTAAATTATTTATTTTACGTCGCCAGAAAACAGGATTAATTATTAAACTGTATTTACCGGATAAATACTTTAGATGCAGTGGTGTGTAGGCAAATGGAATCTTAATTTATAAAAACTATATTGTTTTATTATTTAGATTTTTAGGTATTCTTATTTTTGTATAATCCCTGTAACGTACAAAATATCCCCCCCGAGTACAGTAGTCAAGGGCGTACTCAGAAATTTTTCCAGGAGAGCTTTTTTTTCTTCGTTTTTTTCTATATATGAGAGGTTTATATCTAAAAATAGCCATTCCAAGTGTAAAATCTTGAAAATACAAGGTTAGACTGAATATAAACGTCGGTAAAGAAACTGTTGGCCTCTGTTCTTTAATATTATGCACCTTTTCTTACTAAATCCCTGGAAATCTTCATATTTTTATTCAACTACAAAGCACGAGATAATACAAATAAAAAAAATCACAATTTACTATGTAGTTTGGACCCGCCTAAACAGAGTAGGTTGTTTTAATTGATTGGCCCACTATAAACGAATGAGAATTGCAGATAAAAACATTGTACATTGTACATTTTAAACATAAGAATGATGATAACTCATGAAAAAGGTAAGGAGGAGGTGAGGAAGTATAAGGGAAAGGGAGGATACTCAGCGTAAGGGTTGGAACAGAGGGTAACATAAGTTATTCAAGTCAGGTTTATGAAATACAGGGTGAAGAAGATAGTAAAGACTAAGTTTATCCACATGATACTCAGTTGTTTTTTTTACAGATATAATTTGCAAACTAATTAAATAGATCTTGGCGACTTTTCTTTTAAACGATTTTGCAGATTTAGTTTCTTTCAGCTCTAATTCAATCGAATTCCATATTTTTTGAAATATGGCAGAGGGAAAACATTCTAGAGTTTTAAAGAGAACCCGTTCAAGTTTATATGATTTTGTTCTATTTGGTTCAGCTAAAGAATCAAACATATCAATGGAAGGAAGCTGGAAGGTTTTCATAAAAGTATTTATGCATAAAAGATAGAACACCTAGTTTATATGTATCATCAATAATAGATAAATAACCCACGTACTAAAAGTAACATCAGTCTTTTAAAACTCCTTTACCATACTCTACTGCAGGTACAGTTAACATTTTGTACACTGTGCACTGTACACTGTACAGTGTACATACATTTTACATCAGAACCTAATACGCTTTAAAAAAAGGATGTGTAACTTGTAAGTGGTCTCTATCATAAATGAATTGAGAATTTGCCACAAATTCTAATATTCTGATTTCTATATCTTTAGATATTTCAGACTGAATTCTGTTAGATCAAATTTTAAATATCAAAGGTTTACACCATCAGGTTTCAAAAATAAATGCATTAGAATATTTGATATCGTGGCAAAGAATCAATTCCTTTATCGAATAGTAATAAGACTGTTTGACGCTGGTGTGAAAAAACCTTGTTAGAAAAGGATAATATGTTTCTCAGGATAATATACTAAAGGATAATATGTGTCTCAGGATAATATACTAAAGGATAATATGTTTCTCAGGAGAATATACTCACAAATAGTGTGTCAAATTCACGCATCAAGGTTAAATGTGTTTTACTAGATCTGAATTTAGTTAGAACCATGCAACCTATTTAAGACCAAAAATCTGCAAAACTTAATAAACTTGATTTATTAAGCCTCCGAAACTCAGATCTTTGTGATTTATGGAAAATAATGATACAAAGGAATTGAGTCTTTGCAACAAATTCAGTTTTTGTGAAACCTATATCTTTCCGACCTTATGATGCATAAACCTTTGATATTTCAAACTTACATTAGTTGATCTAACAGAATTCATAGTTTGAAATATTAAAGGTCTACGACATTAGGTTACAACGATATTGAGATTAGAAAATCAGAGTTTGTGGCAAAAACTCAAATCCTTAATCAAGTTTGAAGTGATTTTTGCACGAATGTAATATCTAAAAACTGCATGACACTATTTGATCCAAAAAAGACTGAGATAAAGTAAAAGATTAATGGAAAAAATGTTTTATCTGATTTTTATAAAGTTTTATTTAGGATAATGTTGAAAAAGATCCTGATATAAACCCTAGAGGAAAGATGGAAGATGGTGAGACAGGAAAATGTATATCATGCTCGGTTATGTAAATAATGTACTGTACGGTCAGAACATTTGATTATGTAACTACTGTACTGCAACGGTCAGTACATCTCGGTTATGTAATTTCTGAACTGTACAGTCAGTACATCTCGGTTATATAATTTCTGAACTGTACGGTCTGTACATCTCGGTTATGTAATTACTGTACTTAATTTAATTGCAATACTATACGGTCAGTACATCTTGATTATGTAATTATCGTGCAGTGTAGTATCGATAGTACATCTCAGAAAAATAATTACTGTACTGAACGGTAAATCTTGATACGATATTCATACATCACAAAGAGATCCAATAAACATGGAAATCCTAGGACTTAAATCCATCCCCTGGAATCTTTCATAAACATTTTATTTAGTTTTGATAAGTGAAATTGTCAATTACAAGTCATATGAATTGGTTTAAATACGATATTTATTGTTTAAATTACACCACAGACTACACAGACTGCTCATACACTTTACCAGGATAGGCTGAGCAGGCCTATAGTGTCCCGGCACGCCATGCTACGGTTCCATGTAATGTTTTTTACCTGACATCTCACGGCCACTTGTGGCATTCATGGGTTAATTTTAAAACTTTTAAAGAAATACTCCAATTTTAAACATATGAAACATAATGTTTATGAATATTGTCTATTTTTAAAGATTTTTCATTTCCTATTTAAAGGATCCTTAAATATCCCTGAATACAGATGTTTGCTGATTGGTCGTGTACAGTAGTTGTACACAAAAGAACATGCTGTGAAAAATATCGCACATTATAGGTGTTAATCGATCTCTGTAACTCTCTCATCTCTGAATTACACTTGTAAAAGTCCAAGCAGAGTTTCCATTTTGATTGGGTCTCTCTGAATATATGATAACAATCAAGGGGTTTGATGCCCGTTTGAACGTAAATTTTATTTTTTAAATATTTAAATGTCATATTCACAACTTATTCAGATTTTTTAAAATATTTAATTTGACAAATTTTTTTATGATATGATCAGAATAAGGTTTACAATAATTATTTATCTATTGAGATCAGTCTAAATTTTCTTAACATCTTATCTTTTTCTACGTTGCCTCATGTTAGTAATATATTCATAAGAAATTTAATGATTTTAAAACAAAATTTTATAAAAAATTACAAGTTTCTAAGTATCAACGATTTGGAATTGAAGATTACACAAGTTCAATAGAAAACCAGTTTATCACAAATTCTTATATTTCGTGTGTACTGTACAGCGGCTGCACACGAGATAATTTATGAACAGTGAGAACCACAAAACTGTCGAGTAGAAAGACGACATTAAAGCAATAAATAAGTGGATTTGATGGTTTTGCAGAGCAAATAATTTTACTACTAACTTGTTAATTCACCTAATAAGGGAAATTGGTCGGTAACTGCACAATTCCTGCATGTTTCATTATCCTTGGACTTTTTAAAGTCATGCTTTGAGTCTAAAAGTCGAATTCATATTTCAGAGTTTTATGGTTATCACAGTACCATAATCTGTATATACTTTTAAATATTTCTCTGCATCTGACGTCATATACATTATACAACCCTGAATGCAATGATCCTCTGCTTGTAAGTAATTTATCTCGGACAATCAACATCTCTGTAGCTTTTTATCTGCTTTCATTGTATAATTAGTAATCTCAGTTTGTTTAAAAAGTTTAGTTGTTTTGAAAGAAATAAGAAATGTGATTTACTGACTTTTCACCCGGAAATGCTTCCCAAGCAGGAATTTAAATTGTGTCAGCAATACATGCCATTTAAAGAATTACTAAGTCGAAACCTTTTGATTGGACTGATTTAACTAATCCTGTTCCTTGATAGTTTTTCTCCCTCTTCGTGAGTTTTATCTAAACCCCTTCAGAACTATTGAACCATTCTGTCTAGAAGCAACCTAGTTTTCTTAAACCTGATCTACGCAACCTGGTTTTCTTAAACCTGAAATACGCAACCTGGTTTTCTTAAACCTGGTCTGCGCAACCTGGGTTTCTTAAACCTGATCTACGCAACCTGGTTTTCTTAAACCTGGTCTACGTAACCTGGTTTTCTTAAACCTGATCTACGCAACCTGGGTTTCTTAAACCTGATCTACGTAACCTAGTTTTCTTAAACCTGGTCTACGTAACCTGGTTTTTTAAAGTCTGGTCTACGCAACCTAGTTTTCTTAAACCTGATCTATGCAACCTGGTTTTCTTTAACATGGTCCACGTAACCTGGTTTTCTTAAAACTGGTCTACGCAACCTGGTTTTCTTAAACCTGATCTACGCAACCTGGTTTTCTTAAACCAGGTCTACGTAACCTGGTCTACGCAACCTGGTTTTCTTAAACCTGATCTACGTAACCTGGTTTTCTTAAACCTGGTCTACGTAACCTGATTTCTAAAACCAAACCCATGTTTTTATTCATTTCAATATTAATTTCTACCTCCACAGTTTAAACCATATGTATAAATATATAAACCTAAACAGTCGGTTTTAACAATCAATATCATTATTTACTTAATACTTTATATAAATGCATCTCTTGTATACTGCATTTTATTTAGTTATTTACACCCAGGTCTAGACCAAATCAGTATTAGAATAATCCTGTGGAGGAATGAACCTATATGTAAACTATGTATTGTATATAGTATTATTCTTTGTTGTGATATACTCGGAGTAAACTATGCGTCCTGCTTTAATATGTCCTCGGAGTAAACTATGCGTCTTGCTCTAATATGTCCTTTATATTGCCTTATTCTCTGCCTTCTTCAAGTGATAAACCTTGTATTCAACTAAATGCTTTACAATGATAATTTTAGCTCAAAACTCAGTTAACTTAGAATTTTCTTTCTCAATAAATAATAAATTTTACTTCTTTATTTATTTTAGTATATTTTTTCACTACCTTTCTTAAAGATAGTTTTTCCATTCTTCAAAAATATAAAAGGTTTGCGTGAAGCGCTAAATATTTTGTTGAGGATTATAAACGCAGCATATTAGGGATGTAGGGGGGGAGTGGGGTGTTTTAATAAACACTGAACCCTTTATTATTGATAAAAAAAAAAATTTTCCACGAGAAAAAATGAGACTTCAATAATGAGAATTGTTTTTTTTTGGTTCATGGTTTGGTTTGGTGCAGTTACACTTTCATTTATCATTTCATTTATTTTCTTGTCAATTCATATCTTTTCGAGATTAGAAATTTAGTGCACATGATTGAACTTAAACTTAAGACTGCGAGTTCAAGGTCGTCTTTAAAATATCACCTTTTGTGGGTAACCCTAAATAAAAATTAATCCTGTTTTTAAGAAAAGTTTAAATTTCTGCTAGTCCAGCTCCGATATTAGATGTACTACATTCCAAGGAATATTTATTTAATTACTCAATTTCAAATATGGAATTTAACATCTATATCCGCCATCTTTGAAATATGTTTATTGGATCGTGATTGATGTTCTTTTTGATATTAATTTATTAAAATAAACTAAAGATCTGGTAAAAATAGGGATTTCAATTGAACTGTGTATCATTTTTGTTTTGAAAATTATGTTATATTATGCACAATGCAATTTATATTTGAACATGTACATGGACTTTTTTATCTTTTATCTACTTAATTACTTGTTAAGCTTATAATGTTTAAGTTCCAAAAATTAAAAATTAAATTATCTACGAAGATTTATAGTAATGTTTAGCCCAGTCCCACATGAATCTATGATCTCCCTTGCTCTGAATCCACCTTCTATTCACCTCCGCCATATTGATTTTTGTTTGATTGCTGATTGGTAGAATTGAACCGAACCACGTGTAACGGAACATCATGGCCACGCTCATATCCAACCAACGGATATTTTCCTCTGTGAACTCTGTGCATTCATCATACCTAAGAAAAGAAAAATAAAAAAAAAGAAGTCAGAACTACTTGGATGTGAATCTTGGTATCTCCATCTTGCGCAGATCTACCGGATTAATTTAGTTCCTCCTCGATATCCACGTGTTGGCCTATACCCTGCAGGGATAACTAAAATGAAAGCATCAAGCATTGTTCTTCTCATTTACAAGTGTCCAAATTGGAGATCGAGATGATACGTTCAAGATTAGGGATACTCCACACAACAGTTCCCAGCTCGGATTAAGAAAGTGGATGACTCAAATCATAACAAATTTGAGTAAAAAACGGATTTGAGTTTTGAAAAAAAATAGTTTGTCAAAAGGGTAATTTTTTGTTTGTTTATGTTTTGAACAATGAAGAATGAAGATAACCTTGTTGATGAAAACATTTATTTGGCTAAAATTGAGAATGAGCTTGATGTTGTAGCGAACCGGAGAATAAGGTCTTTAAACTCTCACCCTCTGTGGGTTTATTGAGGAGAGTTTAACGAAATAAAATTATGAAGATGATTTTTGATGTTTTAACCTGGGATCTATGTCTGGTCTGTGTCCGATGAGAAGATGTAAAGAATCATAATAAAATGTCCAAACCTCGGGATCCCACAGCTAAATATTTAGTAAATAATTAATAATTGTTAATAAAGAACAAGGCGAACGCAGAAATTTACAAGGGGTGAACCAACTCAGAATTTTCTCTGAATTTTCCGTAGCTCCCCCCCCCGCCCCCCCCCACCCCAATGCTTTAGGGTGGAGCAATTGCTTAATTCCTCAAAACCCCGTAATCGCCCCTCTAAAAGAATGTTTTAACGACAAATTCTTTTTAGAAAAGATTAATTCATCTTCTTTTATAGAATTATCTTCATAAACCCCATCTAATAGTTTCCAAACTCAGCTTAAATCAATTCTTTTAATTTTACCTGCTTCTCCACATAGAAGAAATGCGCTATATTTGTAGTTACACCTAGTCTGTGGGGTTCATTGTGTACTAGTCCAGGATACAGGGATAATATCTTAACAATTATTCAGGATACAGGGATAACATCTTAAAGAGTATCCAGGATACAGGGATAATATCTTAAAAAGTATCCAGGATACAGGGATAATATCTTAAAAAGTATCCAGGATACAGGGATAATATCTTAACAATTATCCAGGATACAGGCATAATATCTTAACAATTACTCAGGATGCAGGGATAATATCTTAACAAGTATCCAGGATACAGGGATGATATCTTAACAATCATCCAGGATACGGGGATTATATCTTAACAATTATCCAGGATACAGGGATAATATATCAACAAGTATCCAGGATACAGAGATAATATATTAACAAGTATCCAGGATACAGGGATAATATCCTAACAATTATCCTGGGGTTCTAATGTATAGATATATATTTATATTTTACCTCCTTTACAGGTTTCTCTCCTCCATTATAATACCAGACATCTGGTCGATACATCTTGTAAGTATCCAGGATATGGTAGAGGAACCTGAACACAGGATATACAGTGGTAACCACCAAACAATGGAATTATTGTCATCTTCGTTTTTTCTTTTAATCAAGAAATGTAGCTTAGGATTTTGTTATTTGCAGTTCTTTTATCTGATATAGTTCCAAAAATCTAAAATTAAAATTTGCAAAATCCTTACAGAAATTTCGTAATGAAAATAATGAAAGAAGACGATAATCATTCCACTGTTCTCAGGTCACCACTTAACAATAGATAAATTCACAATCATGAAACCGGATTTGTTGTTCCAAAATTGAAACAGAGTTGGATATTTATGAATATCACGTTACAGCAGTTAAACTATTGGTTATTATAAAATGAGAAGGTTAACAGAACTTAAACCTAATTGAACCAAATAACACGTGTAATTACGTTTCAGCAATAAATAATAAAATCTTTTCTAAAGATAAATCATGGAACCGGAAAAAAATTTCAATATTCTGAAGTATTTTTTTTATTCAAAATGGTTTGATTAAATTCCGAAACGAGAATAATACTGTAATCTGAACATGACTTTGCATTTGACTCGCATAGATTCAGTCTGCTTATAAAAAGTCTTTGGCTTTGATTTTACCACTCTAACTCACTTGTGCTTTTCTGTAGCCCTTTACATGAACATTTTAGCACTATAAAGCACTTGATGTTAGCTTTGTTTTTTAAAGAAGTAATTGGCAAAAATTGTAAAATATTACAAATTAGAATAAAAAAGCAAAGTTATTTATATGATGCAGAAATCAAAGAAACAGGATATTTCATAAAAATCTGACCTTGCATGTTTGTTCGCCATCATCATCATATTTCCAATCCATTCTCCAGGAGGCCAACCCAGTACAAACTCATACCTGGAGATTTCAGATAAGAATCATTTCTCATTGGACAGAAAAGATGAAAGATTAATCCCAAAAAAATATTACCAATAAGAAATCCTTTAATCACCGCAAGGAGAGAATGTATTTCGTGTTGATGAATTTTCAAATTTTAATTTCTTTGGGGATTTTCAAACCAGCTGAAGCTCTTCTCTACGTTTTTTTTTAATACTGACAAACCATCCATGTCCCAGACCCAGACAAGAAAATAAGCCGACTAGGTTCAGCGTCTTGAAGCTTTATCCAAACAAAGACACGATGTTTCTGTGAGATATATTGTTACCTCCTGTACTGATCTAGTATATATTGTTACCTCCTGTACTAATCTAGAATATATCGTTACCTCCTGTACTGGTCTAGGATATATTGTTACCTCCTGTACTGGTCTAGTATATATTGTTACCTCCTGTACTAATCTAGAATATATTGTTACCTCCTGTACTGGTCTAGGATATATTGTTACCTCCTGTACTGGTCTAGGATATATTGTTACCGCCTGTACTAGTCTAGGATATATTGTTACCTCCTGTACTGATCTAGAATATATTGTTACCTCCTGTACTGGTATAGGATATATTGTTACCTCCTGTACTGATCTAAACTATTAATGACATAAATATCATTATCCAGATAAATTCCTCCATACTTCTTCAGTACTAGCAATCGGACGACATCTGCCTTCAGAAAAAAGAAATCAATTTAATTTACGTATACAGTTTGGACGTTTGTACAACTTGTTTAATGATTTTACTTATTAAAAACATTTGACTTAAGGACATTTCTTTTGAAATATGATTCGAAAAGATCTTCCATGAAAACATTGTATTTATCTTAAAAATCAAAATCTTATCAAAATATTTCTCTGGAAATAAAGATATTTATAAAAAAACTAGATATATTTTATATTTACTCACAAATATATGTGTTTCTCCTAAAATCTTATTATTTCAAGATATTTCTTCTGAAAATACGCTTTTTTTTGAGAATTCTTAAAACTTTTTCTAGAAGTAAGCTACTTTTTAAATTAAGAAACTTTTTGGTATTAATTTATCTTTAAATCACGCTAATAAACGCGCATTCTTTTTAATCAACATTTTTTAATTCAACATTTAATTCAACCAAAAACGCAATTTCTTCTAAAAATCAAATAAAATCAAGCGATTTTCTCTGAAAAAATGCAAATTTTTATTGATCAAAGTAAGTTTTTTTAAGATCAAGCCATTTCTATTAATCCTTAATTAAGCTCTCTCTGTTTGAATATTCAAATTAAAGATCGATTGTAATTGCAAACACTCCAGCTCTAAGTAGAAATAGTTTGACAATAAACACGGCCTTTTCTTCGAAAATATTTAGAAATTTGTTACATATTTCCATTCCTTGAATCAGACCAGCAATGTATAATATCAAATAGCTATTGTTTAATTTTGGCATTCAAATACGAGTTTCAATAATATAAGATGTATGACCTTGTGTGCAGTCCAGTAGAACTGAACGCCATGAATCTGATCGGGTTCAATTATCCTCTTGACAACCAGAGCTTCTTTAAACCCTGGTATCTTCTTTAGAGTGTCCCAGTATCCTCCGCTTAGATCCAGGTCAGTTGTATGCACGAATAACTTCTCCGGGCGCTGGATGATAAACGCAGATTTCATGCACACTGCTTCAAAGAATCTGAGTTCAGATTGATTTATCCTGTAATAAAACTAAACTAGATATATTTCAGGTTTAGGTTTTTAATCCTGTAATAAAACTAAACTAGATACATTTAAGGTTTAGGTTGGTTTATCCTGTGATAAAACTAAATTATATACATTTAAGGTTTAGGTTGGTTTATCCTGTAATTAAACTAAACTAGATATATTTCAGGTTTAGGTTGGTTTATTCTGAAATAAAACTAAACTAGATATATTTCAGGTTTAGGTTTTTCATCCTGTAATAAAACTAAACTAGATACATTTTAGGTTTAGGTTGGTTTATCCTGTGATAAAACTAAATTATATACATTTAAGGTTTAGGTTGGTTTATCCTGTATTTAAACTAAACTAGATACATTTCAGGTTTAAGTTGGTTTATCTTGTAATAAAACTAAACTAGATACATTTAAGGTTTAGGTTGGTTTATCCTGTAATAAAACTAAACTAGACACATTTCAGGTTTAGGTTGGTTTATCTTGTAATAAAACTAAACTAGATACATTTAAGGTTTAGGTTGGTTTATCCTGTAATTAAACTAAACTAGACACATTTAAGGTTTAGGTTGGTTTATCCTGTAATAAAACTAAAATAGATATATTTCAGGTTTAGGTCTGTTTATCCTGCATAATAAAACTAAACTAGATATATTTAGGTTTAGGTTGGTTTATCCTGTAATTAAACGAAACTAGACATATTTCAGGTTTAAGTTGGTTTATCCTGTAATAAAACTAAACTAGAAATATTCTTATTGGTTTAGGTTGGTTTATCCTGTAAGAAAACTAAACTAGATAAATTTCAGGTTTAGGTTGGTTTATCCTGTTATAAAACTAAACTAGATACATTTCATGTTTAGGTTGGTTTATCCAGTAATAAAACTAAACTATATACATATCAGGTTTAGGTTGGTTTATCCTGTTATAAAACTAAACTATATACATATCAGGTTTAGGTTGGTTTATCCTGTAATTAAACTAAACTAGATACATTTAGGGTTTAGGTTGGTTTATCCTTAATTAAACTAAACTAGATACATTTAAGGTTTAGGTTGGTTTCTCCTGTAATAAAACTAAACTATATACATATCAGGTTTAGGTTGGCTTATCCTGCATAATAAAACTAAGCTAGATATGTTTAAGGTTTAGGTTGGTTTATAATGTATTAAAACTAAACAAGATACATTTAAGGTTTAGGTTGGTTTATCCTGTAATAAAACTAAACTAGATATATTTTAGGTTTAGGTCTGTTTATCCTGCATAATAAAACTAAGCTAGATACATTTTACGTTTAGGTTGGTTTATCCTGTAATAAAACTAAACTAGATACATTTAAGGTTTAGGTTGGTTTATCCTGTAATTAAACTAAATTATATACATTTTAGGTTTAGGTTGGTTTATCCTGTAATAAAACTAAACTAGATACATTTTAGGTTTAGGTTGGCTTATCTTGTAATAAAACTAAACTAGATACATTTAAGGTTTAGGTTGGTTTATCCTGTAATAAAACTAAACTAGATATATTTCAGGTTTAGGTTGGTTTATCCTGTAATAAAATTAAATTAGATATATTCTGTTAGGTTTAAAAGTCGTCCCATATCATATTAGATTATCTGCCAGCTTGAACGAAAAAATACGTGAATAACACTTGAAAAACCAAATTTTCTACATGCAAATATTTTTATTATGCTTAAATACAATTTTTTAAATGATTGAAAAGACAGTATATACTAAAAAAACTGTTACGAACAAATTGTAAATAAATTGAGTTATGAAATAATCAGGATTTAACCTTAAAATTATTTATAAGTTAATTCAAGGTGGTATACATTGAATATGTGTTAATCTATACAAAACCTGATGTAATGAATATAATTAGGGATCAAGAATCCATCTGAGTTCTCAACAGGGCTAAAGATATTACCAAACCGGTTTTCTTTGTAAACACCAATTCGAAATTCTAAACAAATTAGGATTATTTAGATATTCATGAGAAAAATAGCTTTCCAGGGTTATCCATAAAAGATAAAACTTTAGAAAAGTGTTTAAAGATTTTTCTTTTCTTAAATTTTTTTCCACCTGCAGCCATAAACTTGTTGCTTGCTTTGTCTACTGATTTAATGCAATATTCAAGAATAGAAAACCAAATTTAACCTTAATATTGCTGAAGGAATTGAGCCTTTGTAACCCACTCTGATTTTCTAATCCATATATCTCTGCAATCATAGACCTTAGACATTTCATATTATGAATTCTGTAAGATTAAATAATCCATGTTTGAAATATCAAAGGTTTACATTATCAGATTGGACTTTTAAGTCTTTTTTCACAACCACTGATTATCTGATCCCTATATCTTTGTACCCTTAGCTATTTTAAACTATGAATTCTGTTAGATCAAATAATCTTAGTTAATATCAAAGATTTACACTACCTTGCAAAGATATATTTATTAGAAAATTTGAGTTTACGGCAAAGACTCAACTCCTTTCTTACCAATAAATGCTCTAGTGCTGGTGATCAATGACTCTGAGAATAAAACTGCGGCTAGAACTCCAACCAAAAATATTATTAAATGAATCATCAGAGTTCTATGCTTCAACATGGATCGCAGCCTTTAACCAAACATTTTTCAAATATTTATTATAAAGAAATTGAATCCTCTGATTATCAAATCCCTATATCTTTGAAACCCAATGTCGTAGAACTTAGATATATCAAACTTTTTATTAGAACAGATAGTTTAAGTTCGAAATATCAAAAAGCTTACAAAATAAGGTTGTTAAGATATAGGGATTAGAAAATCAAAGTTTGCTGAATAACACTTTATTGTCAATTTTATGAGAAGGTTGGGAAATTTGAATTTTTCAGGCTTCTTTGTTATAGCATTCTTATGCTTTAAAACTTACATTGAACTTTTCTAAAATATGTTTTCCTAAAGTAAAGAGTCCTGCTGGTCAGGTTGGAGCAAAGTTTCTCCAGGTTTGAGACAATTCCCGGGACAGGGAGAAGATCTAACCCGGCGTAAAAACTGATCAGAGTAGGTTTATTGCAACTTCTTTTGTTAAAATCTTCCCTGTTAATGGATTGGAGAAATGAATTGTCTCTTTATCCTTGAGAGAGAAAATAATCCCTGTCAATTAAATAAAAAAAGTAAAAATAATATCTGAAATGAGAAAATAAGCATCCCTGTTTCTTTATTGAACAAAATATTGATAAATCTTTCATGTTCATTGAATCAAAAATTTTAATTAATCGTCTCTTTTCCATGAGATTTTTTCCTAATATTGAAATGAATGTCTTCATCACGTTGTATCAGCATCCAAACCTTAAATATTTGTTCTCCTGTATTTGTAAGCCTTGTATCAATTAAAAGATGAGATCACTCGGAAGCAAGTAATTTAAGATTCATGAATCCATGACTAAGTAATTTTTCATCGAACAAAAAGTCTGTTATCTCTATCAAATGCTTCTAAAAAATAGATATATTCTTGTAAGTCTACCTTGAACTAAACTGATATATTTATTTATATTAAGTTATCTATATCCCTACAACAGGGCGAAAAGGTAACTTTTTCACCCTGCTATACAAATTTCAAATTTCATGCCTAATTTTTCCCGTAAGAGGGTGATAAAGTCACTAAATCGCCCTACATGCAGGGTGATAAAGTAACTTTACTTAATTTTATGAAAGTATTTTCACACCTCACGGTGTAAAAATAGTTTAATTTTGATCTTAAACAAACTAGAAAAAATAAAAATCACAGCAAAAATTATTTTTCCATTAGATTAATTTAAATTGAATATATTTTTGTAAATTGAGAAATGAATGATTGAGCTGTTATTTGAATAATTTGAATACGTTTTATGTTCGCTATTATTTGAATTTTTATACTGCAGTGCTTTGAAGGATTTTTTCCTACCTGGTTAAACCGACTTAACCATGCTTGAAACCTTGAACATCAAGGTTAAATTTGAAATTATTTTATCACGCAGCTATTTTCATTTTTTAACATTTTCTAGTCTAGATTTGGAGACTAATATATATAGGAGCTAAACACTGAGAGATAACTAGAATAGAGAGAACTGAACAGATGGACTTACTCGATATATATATATATATATATATCATTTAGACATGTATATATGTATCTCCTCATTTAGATACCTACATGGATGTATCCCACCTGTGAACACACATTTTTAACAATTTGATCTGTCAGAAGATTTTGTACTTTTTTAGTTAATTTCATAATCACTATAGTTTCAATAGAAGTAAATATTTCCATTTACTGTTGTAGCGCCGATATAAGAATTTATCTCTTATTGGGCGATGAGCTAGATAGAAAGATTAATGTTACCGCCATGCAATTTCTATTGGTTCAGAATGGACAACAAAAACATGACTAAACCCTGATTGGATCAGGCGCTAATGGACTCGACATACTAGAGTGTAATAATTATATATCAAATTGACAATAGGAGCAATTTTAAAAGTTATTCTTAAGAAATCATGAAATTTTATCTAAAATCTAGTTATTGTAGTAAATTTGGATTTTAGTAAAGTTAAAGGTTGTCTTTGTAATTTCAAGCGACATTGAACCTTTCTCCGATCAATAATTTGGAAAATATCGTCAAATTTTTGCTTGAAAAGTGTTTAATTCTGAAATTTTCTCCACTGTTTTTGAAAAAGAAATAAGAATGTTATTGTTGATTAGACAAAGTTTTTAAGGGAACCGTTGTGAATAGGGCATACCACTTATATAAATAAAGAATCCCTTGAAACTACGTAAACAGCCCCTTTAAGTCATATTATTAGCAATCTTATTAAAAAACTTTAATATGATTCTTTAACATATAATTCTCATAATACATCAGGCTTTTTCCGCATAAATTAAATAGTAGGAAAATGATCAGGCTAACAGGATTCAATAAAAGAAAAATCGATGAGCATTACTTGTTAAAAACCATAGCTAACAACAAGCGCTTTACAGTGCTAAAATGTGCATGTAAAGGGCTACATGAAAGCCTAAGTGATTTAGGGCAGTAAAATCAATGCCCAAGGCATTGCGACACTTCAAAGTTTAACCTGTCTTAAAAGTTAATGAGACTGAATCTATGTGAGTCTTGAAATGTTAATGTCTCATGTATTTTAGAAAAACAACTGAATCAATGCCAATTCCAACAAATCATGCAATTCTTAGTATTATTTTAAACCAGATGAAGGGCCGCGGCGTTGCCCGTGGCAATAAAAAAATTTAAAAAATATTTGGAAGAAAAAAAATTTCGATTCTATTTTAGCCTGTAACACCCCCAGGCCACCCCTGAGTGTCCACAACAAACTTCAGTCCTATCGGTCCAGCATTTGGCCGTCTATATGCAAAATATATATATACGAATGTCTTGTTTTATTATATAGATTTATTTTTGTTTAGTTTAAATTTAATTGAACAATATTGTAATTTGTATCACCAGTATGAATAAAAAAATAAGAAGGGGTAATGAAGGTGCGTGAAGAACCATTGAGAACTGGTAAGTCAGTTCAGAGGACTGCTATTGGGATTGGCTAGCCATGTGGAAACACAAGCGGTGTGATACATGTCCGAAAAGAGCTGGAACAATTATTTGCTCAAATCCAAAATTTATCTTGTGTCACAAAATGAATTATTTTCCAATGACTATTGTAACATTTAATCCCTTGATATCGTTACAATCCCAGACATAAATCCTAGGGAAATCAAGATCAATCGTTGCCCCCCCCCATCTTTGAGGGAAGATAAAAGAAAAATACCAATAACAATAGTTGTTAATGTTCTGAAAGGCTATAGCAAACATATTTTTAAATGTAATTTAAGGCAGTTTTTAACAAAATTTGGTTAAATTTTTAAAAATAAAATAAAATATTTTACACCTGGAAATTCTTGTCCTATAAATCATTCTAAATAAATATTTAACGTTTATGTATCTTAACAACTGACGGAGATGTTAAAATCTAAACAATTTTACTTATAAATTGAAACTGAGACAAAATCCTAAAATAGGAATAAAACAGATAGACAACAACATTTTTGAAAATCCAAGGGGTCTTTCCTAGACAACGATTTTTGAACCCCCCACCCCTTCCTATCAATTTTGTACATGACCACTTTTTCAACAATTTTCAATTAAATTAGTATTTATTTAGGGTTAGGTTATGGTTAAGACACTTTCTGGGCCGAGCGCTGCGGCTAGGACAGGCTAGGGGGCCAAGCGCTGCGGCCATGGGTTAGGTTAGGTANTTCATTAGCTTTATCGAAGCATTCATTATTTATTGTAAAGTTCTCACTCAACTCCCATGTTTATTTAGACGCCCTGTATGTAGATAATGTGCGTATGTATGCCTATGTATGTAGATAATGTGCGTATGTATGCGTATGTATGTAGATAATGTGGGTATATATGATTATTCTACTGCGGGACAAATGTGTAATATTAAAACAATATTTCGTGTTATGGAGGTTAGTGTTATAAAGCAATTAGTTTTACCGTGCAGCAAGGATTTAATGCAAGGAAAGGTATTTCAGAGGTGTAGGCATCTTTTTTACTGCAGTGTACTGTCACTGGGCGGTAATGTAAACACAAGCCTGACATGGGATCCATTTTTCACATAAATAATCAATAAAATATTCTGGTCATCGGAAACTATTATGTGAATTATCAAAATTATCAAAATTCAATGCTTTTAACCTCCTCGGATACTAGACGAACACTGAGGCACCTATTATTGTTTACAAATTCCGCCCAGAGAGAACTGCAGTTTCAATATGTACGCACGCAACTGCAATTAACTTTCCTTGCATTACAGTCTTGCCATGCAGTAGCTAAGAAATCAACTTATTACGTGAAATGGGACTCTGCCATGTGTGCAAACTGTACAATTTACAATTATTATGTTTCATGTTTATTGAACTATCAAAATCAAATTTGAGTCTAACAGTCGTCTTCCTATTCCAGAGTTTTATAGGTCCCAGTGTTTAGTAAAAGGTATGTTCTGTACTGAGTTCACTGTATCAGTTTATTGTTAAGAGAATTGTAAAGACCGGAAAATTTAACTCTAAACTTTATTTTACAATAATACTAACATTTTAAACAAATTGGTTTAGAATTGTCTATATTTATAATTTCCTCTGAAGAGAATCTATCAGTGTGGATATCTACCGTCGGGGAAGGGTCGAGGGGGTTCAGGGCCGGAGAACTGAAAATTCCGGGGATAAAGAGGAGGAGATATACAGTTATTGGCTAGTCTAGGAGTAGAAGGACTAGCTGAACGAGATCTGCTAGTTTTACCCGTAGCTCGGGATATTCTACTCTGTCTACTCTGCCTGCTGTGACAGCTCTCCTGCCTGCTCACCTCACTAGCCTGAGACTGGGGGGAACCAGGTGATCTGGATCCAGCTGAACAAGGAGACCTGGATCTAGATCTCGAGGTGGGAGAGTGAGAACGGGATTGAGGAGATGAGATGGGAGAGTCTGGTCTAGAACTAGGATACGGAGATCTCATGTTCCCCATCAGCACTGGAGGATCTGTATAAATACAACGATATACAAATATTAAATATTAATCAGAATATTAATTGAATATTGAGTTTAGAATTTCATCCTAAACCTATCCTAATTCAACAAAAAGTGAATATTCGTAAAAATCACGACATTTTATAATTCAAAATGTTATAGCTTGAGGTGTTTAATTTGGTGTATTTTCAAAAATAATAAGAGTACACTTTTTTGTCCGGGGAGAATTTTTCATCTTTGACGTTGCATAAACTTTTATTGAGGTCATGTCAGTTGTGGCAAAAATTTGATCCTGATCGGTTCAGCCGTTTTCATTTTTTTTTTTAAATACAAACAGTCAAACTTTAGATATATATATAAAGATGAAAACTTTCTTACTCATTTCTTGTTCGTTCTTCTTCTGGAGCACTTGATTCGGTCCAGGCTCATTTATAGCCGTGAAGTTATTCACGCAGTTAATTAAGTTCCTAAACAAAGTATTAACTGTAGATGTACGCAATATAGGAGAGAGGTTCATTCTTGTTTTAACGAAACAGTAACAAAGGAATTGAGTGTTTGCAACAAACTCAAATATTCTAAACTAATCCCAATATTTTTGCAACCTGGTGGTGTAAATCTCTGACATTTCAAACTTGGATTATTGTATCTAAAATATCTAAAGTCTACGACATTGGTTTGCAAAGCTAGATAAAGGAAATAAAAATCAGAGCTTGTGACACCGACTCAATTTCTTTATATTGTAAACACAGGTCGGACCTTTCCTGGGCAGGAAGGCCGGGCTTGTGAAATCACTGTTTACTTTCTTTATTTCCAAAAACAGTTACTCAAAAGTCCTAATATACGTCATACAAGTAAACCCTATCCCCAACCTTAGTTTTAAACATATTGGATGAACGCATAATACAATTTTCAATATATGTTCATCACAAAGAGATTACAATCTGTAACTCTACGGTCTGTCTCACTACCGAGACAAAATATACAAAATATAATTCACAATAAAATTTTGGTGAAAATTAATTTTCAAATATTATTGACGCTGTTGCTAAAAAGATTATAAGGCTGTTTAACATCTTGGTCTGGAAGTGTAAACATCTGTATTTTGATCAAGCATTGATCCTCCTCTTATGCAGACCGATACGGATAAATTCCCGTAGTGGTCATCTCTACGGTATTAATTTTAGTTGAGGGATCAAGCATTTAAAGTCCTCACTTTGGATATCTAGATCAAGCATTCAAGATTAACGATACTTCACACAAAAGTTTCAACCTCTGGAAATAAAACAAAAATTTTGCAAAATATAATTAAATAAAATTTTTGTTAAATGTAAATGCATTTTGATCTAATAAAGATTTTCATTAAATTAATTAATTCTGGAAAATAAACTTTTCAACACAAAATTCCCTGTATTGTAATTATAAATTTAATTACTTACTTTTGTTTGTTTTGAATTTTGAAAAGAGTCGCGATCTCGTCAAACGTTTTGTTTTTAGTTTCCGGAACATTCTTGTAGGTGAACACCCAGAACACAGCCAGGAACATGCTGAAGGGCAGGAAGGTGTAGTTCTCCAACAGTGTCTAAATCAGGTTCTTATCAAGATTATAATCATCAATTTTTCTGGAATAGATCTTATTTTGACAATTTTTTTCGGTGAATAATCTATTTAAATATTTTAATATCCGAACAGTTTCTTTTAAATATTTTAATATCTGAATAATTTCTTTTAAATATTTTAATATCTGAACAGTTTTCTTTAAATATTTTAATATCTGAACAGTTTCTTTTAAATATTTTAATATCTGAACAGTTTCTTTTAAATATTTTAATATCTGAACAGTTTCTTTTAAATATTTTAATATCTAAACAGTTTCTTTTAAATAAGAAAATAAAAATTAACCATTTTCCCAATATTTTTGTTTTATAGAATATTATAGAAATTTTAAAACTCTTCGTTTGCACTTGATATTTTCTATTTTTAATGTGTTTTTCTTCTTTTAAAATCAGATCCTTTCTAATACGATGAAAGCTGTTGTATTAAATCAAGTTTTCCAGGAAGCTAATTAAACAGGTTTATTTGATAGTCAATAGACTGAGTTCTTGCCACAAATTCTTATCTTTGAAACCCAATGTCGTGGATCTTTAACATTTCAAACTATGCATTCTGTTAGATCAAATAGTCTAAGTTTGAAGTATCAAAGTTTTAAACCAGAAGGTTGAAAAATTATAGGGATTAGAAAATTTTAGTTTGTGAAAATAAATTAGTTCCATTTAGAGATATATAATTGTTCCGTAGATTCTATTGTTTTGTAAAAATTAAGTTTATACCGATATATTGATAGAAAAGAATAGAACTCGGTTCTAGTGCGTAATTTAATGTGTAAATCAAACCAACCATTTCTGGTTATATATATTGATATATTGATAGAAAAGAATAGTTGGGAATCCAATAGTTCTACCTGCATAGTTGGGAATCCAATAGTTCTACCTGCATAGTTGGGAATCCAATGGCTACAATAAAGTTAGCACACCAATTAATAAGAACAGCTACAGACATAGCTGCTGGTCTTGGGCCCTGGGAGAACAGTTCTGCTGTAATCATCCAGGGAATGGATCCAGGGCCCACAGCGAAGAAGACAACATAGAATAGTGTTGATACTACAGAGAGCCACCAAATCCAAGAAACCAATTCCTTAAAAAAATGTTGTAAACGTTTAAACCAAGGAACTTAAACTAGAAACTAGAAAATTGTTTGAACATTTCTGAGAGGAATACAATTAAACCAACCCGGATGTACTAAACGAACTTAATCTCGAAACTTCTAATCCTTTGAAATCTGATGGTGTAAACCTATCATTTCAAACTTTTACTATTCGATCTAACAAAATTTTAAGTTTAGATATCAAAGGTTTACATCATCAGCTGGCAAAGATATAGGGATAGAATAATTCAAGTGTTCAGTTCCTTTGTCTGATAAGTTAACTGATTAGTGGTAATTTCTCTCTTTTGAATTTAGGTCAAAAAAGTTAACATCTGCAACATGAAGTTCTTAGGATCGAGTATCTTTTGAATATGATTAAGTGAAAGCCGTGAGAAATAAGATGAGAATAACCTAGTTTAAAAGTATCTGTTACCTTTACTAGAAAAGATATCGTTATAAAAATGGAAAATATGAACATTCCTCCGAGTCCGTAGAGATGCAACGTCCTTCTCCCTCGTCGATCCATCAGAGGAATTGAAACCAGAGTCATCAAAACCATCACAGAACCAATACCAATAGTTGCATACTTAGCTGAGGTTTCACTCAGTCCTGTGGTTATGAACAGATTTGTAGAATAGTAGAACACTGCGTTTATTCCTGACAGTTGTTGAGACAGTTGCATAACGATTGCTATCATCAAAGGCATTCGGAGGGTTGGAGAGCGGAGAAGCTCAAACATCGTGATCTTTGATTCCGCCTGCTGAGCCTGCTCCTCAGCCCTCATCTCCTCAATATCATCCTCGATATGAGGCGTGTTTCTCAACCTTCTCAGTGCATCTCTAGCAGCCTGCTCCTGTCCTTTAGAGATGAGAAGATACCGTGGGGACTCCGGGCACACCGGGAGTAGGATCAGTTGAAGGATTGAAGGGAATACAGCTATACCCAGCAGATAGGGCCAACCTTCATCAGTTCCTAGGAGAGGTTCTACTCCTAGAACCTGGCTGGTCAAGAGACCTACAGTGACCGCCAGCTGGTTAACAGTTCCGAGCCCGCCTCTCAGGTTCAATGGTGCTATCTCAGATATGTACATAGGAACCAAACTCGTGTTTAAACCTGGAAATACAGGGGTATAAGTTGAAAACTGTGCTTTGACCTAGAAATGACACTGAATGTCACATAGAGGACTTGAGCAAAGAATAAAAATAATTTCCCCTGCCATAAAAAAATGTGAAATAACTAATTGTAATATCGATGATCAAATACAACTGACAAAAAAATTAAAACCTATATCTTTGCAACCTTACGATGTAAACCTTTGATATTTCAAACTTACATTATTTGATCTAACAGAATTCATAGTTTGAAATATTAAAGGTCTACGACATTGAGTTACAACGATATTGAAATTAGAAAATCAGAATTTGTGGCAAAAACTCAATTCCTTTTAAGTAAAAACTTTTGGGGGGAAAAACTGCATTGAGGTAAAATATAATAATTTGTAAACCGAGGGAGCAGTACCGAATGCAGTAAACCCAGCGGAGAAAAATAGTTGGTTTAAGAAGAACTTAACATAATGCAGTTGTGATTTAGAACTTTGCAAACTTAGGAGGTTCAAAACTTTTTCTTTTTAAATTGTAAGTCAAGGATTCATCCCATCTTTAAAGTACTTAGTCAGAAGGTTATTTGAGGCGAGGAACATTAAATTACCTTCTGTGCTACCCAAAAAGCATGAAAAAAACTTTGAAATTACGTATTAAATTAAAAAATGACTGTATGGTTATGCAACAAAAGAAACAAGTGTAAAACTACACTCCGTACAGTCGTCTTTAAAGACTGCAATTTGTGGGCAACCCTGTACAATGTACGATGTACCTACAATGACCATACGTATAGTACATATAGTACATGGTCCCCAAAATAATAGGAGAATGCAATGAAAACTTTTAATCCTAAAAACGTTCAATAAGCACGGCATTTGTGCTTTAATCTTCATAAATAATTTTCTAGCAATTGTACCAAAAATACGTGCTTTTAAATCTAATTTTACATTAAATAGGTAGGCAAAAGTGTAGGTAAAAATCATTAGATAGACAGATGGATAAAATACCTTACATTGATTTTTCACTCTATTTCCCTTTATTCTAGAGACGACTGTTGCATTTATATAATATATAATATACTTTATATATAAATATATAGGTTCTTTACACAGATATAAGTATCTACTTAAGAATAAGTAAAGATTTACAGGGTGTCCCACATCATATTAGATCGTTTAAAGCTCTAAATTGAGATTTTCGGTACTAATCAGAAAATTAAAAAGAACGAAACAGTTACAAAAATAATATCAAATTTTGTATGCAGAAAATACTAGGTTTTTTGAGTATTATGTGCGTATTTTGGCGTTAAAGCTTGGAGATAATCTAATATGATATGGGACGCTCTGTAGCTTACCACAATTAACCCCTATAAGGCAGCGTCCAATGATAAGTAGTTCGTAAGAAGTAATTTGTTTAGAGAACACCATTGCAAGTGCAGCTGCTATCCCAACCAAATTGTTGATTAACAACCCGCCTTTCCGACCAAATTTATTAGCGATCCAACCGCCGATAAATCCTCCAACCATGCCGCCGATGGCAAAAATGGAAACGACGATGGCGTACATGAATGTGGAACGTTCATAAGTCATATTTTCTCCGTCGTTCCGTCTTCTGTGCGCTGTTCTAATAAACTTCTCAATGACCTGGAAAAAAACAGTATTCTAAAATTATTATTATCATTTGCACATTCTTTTTTTTTCTGTTACTATACTAGTAAGATAAAATTTTCTGATGAAGAAGGAAGATGAAACATAAAACTTGAAATATCTCCGACAGAAACCATAATGTAACGAGTGGTAGAAAAGTTAAGAGAACAAACAAGAGAGGTGTTTTAACTAATTTTATTAAAAGTTTTCAGGAATCTTTTTCCTTTAATCCTTCTATCCTATCCTAGTCCTATCATAGTCCTATCCTAGTCCTATCCTAGTCCTATCCTAGTCCTATCCTAGTCCTATCCTAGTCCTATCCTAGTCCTATCCTAGTCATATCCTTGTCCTATCCTAGTCCTATCCTATCCTAGTCCTATCCTAGTCCTATCCTAGTCCTATCCTAGTCCTATCCTAGTCCTATCCTAGTCCTATCCTAGTCCTATCCTAGTCCTATCCTAGTCATATCCTATCCTAGTCCTATCCTAGTCCTATCCTAGTCCTATCCTAGTCCTATACTAGTCCTATCCTAGTCCTATCCTAGTCCTATCCTAGTCCTACCCTAGTACTACCCTAGTCCTATCCTAGTCCTATCCTCTAGTTCTATCTTAGTCAAAATCCTTAAATCCAAATGAGCCTAATAAGCCCCTATATTGCTTTCTTTTCTTGAATTGCAATTGTTTGAAATGAAACGGTATAAAGATATTTATTTACCTGTTCTGGGGCATTTATTACTCCGGTATTGTATCCGAACTGTAGCATTCCTAGTACTGCAGAGAATATACTATACACCAGGAAGAAGGTTAAACCCTGTAATAAATAATTAATAGTATTCTGTTCAAAGTAGGAGTATAGCTTTACCTAGCCTATGGCTTTACTAAAGAAAAATTTAATTTTTTGCCTTTTGTAAACCTAAATATGAATAAAAAAAAAACCTAGAATAGATTTTCATTTAAGAATTTATTTTGATCGATGCATATAAATAACAAAAAACTTTTAAAACAAATTCTAGCAATGCAAGATTGGAACGATGCAAATCTGGCTTGGTCTCGAAAGACCATAATTAGTCTCGTTATCTCTGATAAACTGATTTTTTGCCACAAAAAATCTGATTTTTATTTCTATATTTCGGCAACCCGATTTCGCAGACCTATGATAATTAAAAATTTGTATTCTGTCAGATCAAATAGTTTAAATTTGAAAAATCTTAGGTTTACGACCTCAGGTTGCAAAAATATAAAAAAAATTTGTTAGTTATAATAACCCCACCACAGGGGGTTTTTTTTTTGGGGGGGGGGGCGTCAACCAAAATAAGTTTATTCCATAAACCTCTTAATTATGCCAAATAAGGCTTGGCCGCTTAAGAATATATTTTTTTAGAAAAGTCTCTAAGTTGCTTAAATGTTATGTTTTAGTTTAAAATTTTGACCGAAAACCCACTATTTCATTGAAAACTTCTAAAATAGAATTTTTCAACAGGCTATTCTGACTAAATCAAGGTTTTGTGGTGCTGCCAACGCCCCTAATTCTTTCCTATATGGCTGTTAGGATCTATTTATATATTTATATTATCCCGAAACCGCTTTGCTTTCTTGTACTTTTGCAATAAAACATATGTTTTTCTTCCTAAATAGCTCGCTGTAACAAAGACGACATCTAAATATATTGCGGGTTGACAGGATCCATTCAAGGAAAAAAATATAAAGGGAAAATTAATCATAAATTGAAATGTTTGTAAATGAAAAGATTATCCGCATATATTAATTTTTTCCATTCTTACCATGAAACACAAGACAAATACATTTTAAGAGGAGAATTGTGACAAAAACCAGTCATCCTCCCCTGACCTTCTACCTGCATANGTTCTGCCTTTTTAAATATTGATTTGTCAGAACTTTTAAAAATGTTTATTTAAATAAAAATGGGTTTGCTGTATTTATGATTCTCACAAAATTAAACATAAAATTCGCTCAAATAGTACTTTAGACTTTTCATATTATAATTGTAATCGATGCCACATTCTCCACCCCTTAGTGAATTATTAAGTTAAAATTCCATATTCAATAAACATTAAAAGCAGGAACGTACACAGGATTTTTTCCAGAGCGGGGGCCTAAACTTTTTTTCTTTTCCAGGGAAAACATAGATTATACTATTCCCGGGGAGGCCTGAGTCCCCATAGCCCCCCCCCCTCCCCCTATGTACGAATCTGATTCAAAGGTTGAATTTTCCTTGTAATAAGTATATATGTTACCCAAGGAAAGGATCCTTCTGTTGTGGACTCTGTAGATCCTCATCATCTGCCCAGTACGGATACGGAGAAGGAAGAAGTCTACATTGACTCAGGGTATCCCTCTCCTGTATAGGAGGACAGGTGATTGGTCGGTCAGATTCTTCTCCGTCCGGTCCATCACTCTCATTAAACCGGAGTAAACCTGAAGCAGACGTTCTTACATGTTGGAGACTAGGATACGGATCGTCAGGATCTATTTCCCGCTCCAGGGTTGCTGTTCCAGGACGTTCAAACTGTCCGGGGGGTAGAATACAGTCCTCGTGTCCGGATTTACAAGAGCCAGGACGAGATAATGATTGTGATCGGAGATCCTCCTCATGAAAGGATATTCTAATCGGTTCATGGTTATCATCGTCTAGAATGGGAAGAGGTCTGGATGAGAGTTGCATAGGTTCTGGAAGCGTCATACACATTGCTCTTGAGCTAGGTCTGTAACCGGGGGGAGAAGGTATACTTGAGCTAGTTCGATATCCAGGAGGAGATGGTGCCCTTGAGCTTGTTCTATATCCAGGGGGAGAAGGTGCTCTTGAACTACTTCTATACCCTGGTGGAGATGGAGCTCTTGAGCTAGTTCTATATCCTGGTGGAGATGGAGCTCTTGAGCTAGTTCTATAACCTGGAGGAGATGGTGCTCTTGAGCTAGGTCTGTATCCAGGAGGAGAAGGTATACTTGAGCTAGGTCTGTATCCTGGTGGAGAAGGTATGTCGGGAGGTCGGATTCTAACATTTAAAACCTCCGGGGGAGATAATGGCCCCCGGCCTAATAAACGAAGATCACTCATTTCCTCAATCTTCAATGTTCATGTTCATCTCTTTAAAAATTCAGTTTTCATCTTCCTAAGCTCAGAGCTGCACATATGTCCTGATTTTTCACAAGGTTCAGCTGAGAATAAATTAACGGATCTTAACTCTACTTCAAGTTGGGTCTTGATATCTGTAGGCCTAACTATTAGTTCACTAGTTCTTAATCCTCAAATCCTTGAATTTCATTTTATGAATCCCCGCTGCAAGCTGAGAGTTAGAAGCAGCACAATAATTTGGTTTGAACAGATCCAGGCTTTCAAGTTTCTGCAGTTGTCGTTTTGCTGGATCGATCCGAATGGTTGCGAGGCCAGAAAGCCGGAGTGGTTGCAGGCTGGGCCTCCTTCTACCCATTTCTCTCAGCCTCCGGTTATCATTTTAAGACCTCCGTGAGGCTGTCATCTCTCAACAGAGGCCACGCCTTAACATGACCTTTGACTGGGGTGTTGTATGGAGGCCCGGATATAAGTTGACATGGTTTATATTATGTATAGAAATATGAATCTTTCTCAAAGAATAATATTTTCAGGAGAATCTCAGGATATCGAGGATTGAGAGGAATACTGTGTAATCTTGAAATAAATTATTCATACAATACATTAAGCATCTGGGTGGTTGAAATAATCATAACAGATTTTTGCTTCATGTGCATACTCTAGTTCTAAGTAAAATACATGTTTCCTGATACCGTTACATGGGATGATTTTATCTCCTATATTATTCATAATATATTTATTATATACTCCTAGATTCAATTTATATTACAAAATCTTTAGGTCAGTACTAGAAACCTTTATGATTTATATAGTCGACCTTCTTCATTTAAAACTTTTAAACTCTGAAACCATTTGAACAATTTATAACTCTATTAAAAGTCGTTCAATAACAGTCTGTAACTTTTCCTTTCCCAATATTTCAAAGAAGGTTGGGTGAATTTAATCTTTTAGACGATGAAAAATGATTTTGCACGGAAAGTTCGCAGCTCCGGATAAACCATAAATTGTGAATAAAATCTTGTATGGTTCTTGATTGTGTAACCCAATAAAGTAAGTAGATAATATTATTATAAATAGATAAGTAATAAGATATCCTAGTCTAGACTGTACCTGCTCCAGTAGTTTATTCTTCCTTCTCTGACTCTCAACCTCCAGCCTGTCTAGAGACTCCCTGATCTCATCTATCTCGTCTTTGACAAGCTGGACCGAGTCGATCTCATGCTTGATGGCGATCATGTCTCTTTTCACCTCACAAACCTCGCTCTGGCAGGACTCAACACTTAAGATAAAGGTGAATTGTAAACTCTGTATACAACAGTAAAACCATGAGTAAGCTCCAGTTTTCTTTATCAGAGCAAAAATACGAAAGTAAAACCGACAAAAAGTCCCTGTTTACCACAGTAAAACCGACAAAAAACCCCTGTTTACCACAGTAAAACCGACAGAAAACCCCTGTTTACCACAGTAAAACCGACAGAAAGTCCCTGTTTACCTCAGTAAACCCTGATCAAGTCCCCTTTTCACCTAAGTAAACCCTTAATTTAGACCCTGTTTATCTCAGTAAATTTTTGAATAAATTTACCTTAGTAAACTTCTGAGTAAGCCCTGTTTACTTTCAGTAAACCTCTGAGTAAGGCCTAGTTGTCTTCTATAAACCCATGAGTAACCCTCTGTAACTAAGCCCCAGAAATAAGTCCCTTTAAGTTTACCTGCGTGTGAGCTCATGAAGTTGACCCCTAATCTCTGAGAGTGCCACGTGTGTATCCACGTGTTGAATCCCATGTAGTTCCTCCAGCTTTCCGCTCAGATTCCGGTTCATGATCTTCATCTGCTTCTGTAACCTTAATCAAAGTATACGTTTATTTATCTTTTTTTGTTTAATGCATCGACATTTCAAGATAAGGACATTCATTGCATGTTTTCATAATTAAGTAATTTATGAAACAAAGATGTTCTAGTTCTGTTTATCCAGATCAATTTCTGATTTCAATATATGGTTCTGCCTTTTTAAATATTGATTTGTCAGAACTTTTAAAAATGTTTATTTAAATAAAAAGGGGTTTGCTGTATTTATGATTCTCACAAAATTAAACATAAAATTCGCTCAAATAGTACTTTAGACTTTTCATATTATAATTGTAATCGATGCCACATTCTCCACCCCTTAGTGAATTATTAAGTTAAAATTCCATATTCAATAAACATTAAAAGCAGGAACGTACACAGGATTTTTTCCAGAGCGGGGGCCTAAACTTTTTTTCTTTTCCAGGGAAAACATAGATTATACTATTCCCGGGGAGGCCTGAGTCCCCATAGCCCCCCCCCCCCCCCCCCCCCCCCTCCGAGAGAGACATGGCCACAGATTTAATAGAACAGGGGTTTGTTTCATGTCCAGCAAAAGCTTCAGAAGAGCGAGGTTTTATAACAAAATTTATTTTCTTCATTTTCAATTTTACATTTAACCCTTTAAAGGCCGGGGGGTCTGAATCTNCATATTTCTTGAGTATGGTCCAAAAAAAAAGTTCACGGATTTCATAAAAAAAGTTTCCTGGATTTTAAAAATTTTCAAAATCGAATTTGTAGGCAATTGAAATTTTGATCATTTAAACCTTCCCCGGGGCCACGTGATGTCCCACACAAAATTTGGGCCCTATCAGGTCAGCCGTTTTGACGTTTATTTGATCAAAACAAACAGACAGACAGACATGCAAAGTATATAAATAGATATACAGGGAGTCCTCGGAATATTCTCAACTATAACTGATGATAATAAACTTTATGATATTACATATTAGCGAATTTCCAACGGAAATACATATAATGACAATTGACAAAATATTCAGGCGCGTAGTGGAGGTTTAGCCTAGGGGGGTGCACATTTGGCGAATTTTTTGGTGTGCACCCCCCTAACGACTATTAGTCATGACCATATTTACCAATCATTTTAAATGAAACCCCGCGAAAAAAATATTGCAAATAAGATTAAGGTTACAAGAAAGAATTTGAGAAATAATCATAAAATGGACAAATTGTAACATTGTCGATTGATAAGAAAAGTAAAAAATCTGAATATATATATGTAAGTTTACTATTTAATAATGTAAAGCCTGCCTCTGGCTCGAGGGGTGAATGTCTACGGGGCACAGGGGTACTGCCCCCCTAAACTACGCGTCTGAAAATATTCCGAACATTTATAGTTTCAAGATCTCGTTGAGGTATAATGTTTAGAAACTTCGCTATACAATTTTAAAGTTTGTTTTTAGCTTTAGTATTTGGACGTAATTTGCAACATTCTAACAGAGTGAGAGCTTGCACATTTGGCTCACCATGATGGGAACAGTTTATTAATTTTCACAGGCCCGTAACCAGGTAAGGGTGCAAGGGTGCAGGTGCACCCCCCTTTCTTCTGAAAGAGGGGTGCAATGACGACTTTGCACCCCACCCCCCCTAGTCCCATATAAAAGAAATTGTTTTTGTGTACTCTCTCAACTCATAGTCATTTAATAGTTGTTTAAGTCTAATAAAAACAGTATGATTTATTAATTATATGCATAGAGTCTCATAGAAATGAAATGGTAATCTCCTGTACACTTTCAGACTTTTAGCCCCCCCCCCCTTGACCGGTGTGCTATGTTTTATGAGTCTGTTTTTTTGAGGCAAGGTTCAGCACTAATCGCTAAACTAAAAGTTTCCACTAATAGTGGTGGCTCATGGCTGCCGGAAGAGAAAAAAGCTAATATGTGGCACGGAAGGGGAAATATACGGTGGCTCATGGCCGCCTGCCTTCCCCCCGCTCATCGTATAGGCTACAAAAATAATTAAGGTTAATGTGAACAAATTACTGAGTACTCACAGTACAACTGTACACAACTGTACACACAATTACATTCACGACTTGACAAAGCGAAGCACGAAGCGGAAATTTAACCTTTTTATAAAACTGTTAGGAATGGTTATTTCTGTACGAGGTAAAATTGCTTTATGCCATTAAGCTCAAAACAATTTTTCTCGGCTGGTAAAGGCTAGAGGGCCGGGCGCCGGGGCACTACGGCCACAGATCTATAATAAACATAGCCAATATTGTTACAACACAGATACATATATGAATATGATGCGTGTAAAAATGGGGGGGGGGATGGTCCAAAAAACGTTTTACTAATTTATGTCCGACTCCAACGCTAATTCACAGATAGTAAAGGTGTTTATTGTTGAAAACTTCGACGTTTAAATATTTTTGTGTATCTTTTACAGTCATCGTCAAAATTAGTTTGGAAACCCAGCTAAGAACATTCCCGTTGGTCTCTACAGTTCCCCAATCAAAATTTGAGGCAAATCGGTCCAGGGGTTCCTGAGTTATGATCGGACAAAGAAACAAATAAACTGACAAACAGAGATTACAACTATTTATATATATAGATTATTGGCGTAAAATATTTAATTCATATCTACCTCTTATTAATTCATAATGGTAAAATTATAAAAACTTTACTTATTCATACATTTGCAGATTAAAAATGGAAGAAGTTGAAGAATGTAATTTTTACAAGGATCTGGTTTCTTATTTAGATATCACCGGACAGTTGGTCTCATTATCCAGGTCAATCCAAACCTTCTCAACCAACAGCTCAGAGATCTCCGACAACTCCAGTCTAAATGATACCATCTCCAGCTTCAACTCAATCTCAGCAGGAAATACAAAACCTTTCCGACAAATCTTCTATTTTCATGTTGTGGAGGTTTGTAACATATCCCCTGGTTTAGCTGTTCTTGTTGAGACTGCTCGAAGCAGGTTTGTTGAACTCCTCCAGGATGTAGTTTACAAGTTTACCCAGTACTGTGGATCGGAAGACATCATCTCAAAATCTCAGGATTGTCCAATTTTGATGCGGATTGGCAAAATAAATTGATTAAACTTTTAAGTTTCATTAAATGATAATAATTTCAAGTGACCCTCCATTTAAAAAGGGCAAACCGGATTCTCAACAATATACAACGGTACCCTTGAATCAATAATGTAGAAGATATTGTCGTGTTTTTCTAGCTTGAACAGTTTTAAATTCTGATAATTTCTACATTATTTTCCTGTAGGAAAAATGCGCAAGTCGCTTTTACAAAGAAATTCGTATTAGATAAACCGATCTGACATTTGTCAAATTTTGGAGGTTTTATCAATGTGTATTAGTTAATCCAGCTTTATACGGCACACCTGGAAATTAAAAAATCTGATAACATAAAATAATTGATTCAAAAATTTCTTCACGCAATTATAAATTATTGTCATTAAATATAACTTTCTACCTTAGGTCAAGGTATGGGGGATACTTTAAACCATGATATTAGTCTGATTATTATTCTAAATATGGACTGGACGTTAATCCTAGGTTTGCGTAACTCCAGTGATCTTTGGTTTAAGTTCTTCTTCCAGAGTTCAATCTTTAGGAGACATCCTCAGGTTCTCCTCTAGCCAGGAGTTGATGACTATGCATGGAAAACTAGTCGGTAGATCAGCTAAGATCTACTATGTTAGTAGAACCACCTACCTCTGCTCTAGTCCGGTCTGCTGTGGGAACACTGAGGACGGGATCTACGTCAAGATGAGGAATATGGCAGAGTCAGGGAGGGAGAAGATCAATCAGGAATAGGGTTTACTCCAGAATTACGGATATTATTACTTAAAAAGCAAAGCTTTGTTTTATTTAGATTTTAAAGAGAAATGTCATCATAAATATATTATTTGGATAAGATTATCGCATTTCTTTAGTACAGAATTTTTATGTTGTTAAATTTTTCACAATAAAGTTGAAAAAAACGGTTTCGAGTCTAACTTTTATTAGTATTTGTATTTGTTTCTCAAAGCAATAATTTCATTGTTTAATGTTCACCCTTGAACTTTACAGGAATGTTTTCTCTGTGGAAATATCCTTGTAGAACAATACAGCAGTAGAGATATCTGTTCCAAGGTTAGTATTTAGAAGAGTTTGCAACTTATTTATATCGTCTTACATCTAAATCAATTCTTTCTGGATATCTTAAGTAAAGGTCAAGAGAGATGGCAAACATGAGTGTTTTTACGGGTTCAGCACTAATCGATAAACTAAAAGTTTCCACTGGTGATATCGAGGTCTGGCTCTTTTGATAAGCACCATTTTTTATTAAAAAAAATTCCAACATCTGATAGAAAAGTGGAATTAAATATGTTTTTTTCTGCGTCTCTAGGTTTGTGGTTTGTTGATCCCGGAGACAAAATCAAACGAACTGCAGATCAAGCAGACGTTTACAATCATTCTCTCTCGGACAGACGCAGCGCTGGCAATTCTAGGACAAAACTACGAGATTGTTTTCAAACCTGTATTTGAGAGACGAGGGAAGGAGGTTGGTATTCTCCTTGAGGTTTCAAGTCTAGTTCATCTCCAGGATCCAGACTGCAGAACTATACGCTCAGGTTCGGTTTCTGTTCCTGAGACCCTGTATCGAATATACAAGGATAGGTCGGCTTCTCCCTGGAGTTTCCTGTTAACCCTGGCGTATCTGACCGGAAATGAGTCAACACCTCGTGGGTTTCTCATTAAGTTTAAACTCTGTCTTCTTCTCAGTTTGGTTTCCACCGGCTCCAAGGATAAGATTCATGTTCTAGCTCTTGGGACGGATACTAACATCATTTCCAGGTTCAGTAAAAGATCTTTTTATCTCTAAAAAGCAGGGGTTTATATGTCTTTTATTGAAAAATCAATTTTTTCCCAACCTCCGCAGTCCCCTTTTTAAAAATCATTTTCTTCCCCAACGCTATAGAGAAGTTTTATGTAAGCCCCCACCCATCGGCAAACGCCAAAACAATTCTCTGAAAAAAAGTTTTCGTAAATAAAGTCCTAAATTTTGGCACTAAAAAAGTCTTGGTAAAATAAAGTCCTTAAAATAAAAAGTCTCTGAAAATAAAGTTCTTCCAAATTTTGTTGTATAAAGTATCCATAAAAGGTTAAAAAAATGCCTTATCCTGATCAATGTTTAAATTTTCCCCCGAGCGTCAAAAATCCCTTCTAATTATTTTTTTAGAGGGGAGGGGGTGCAGGGGGAAGACGCCACACCCCCTTTAAAAGTTTTTGAGTCAACGTATGGAGCTTAGAATTTATGTTAGAGGTCAGGTCATTCTTGAGAACTTAATAGTAAAAGTATACTCTGAGGTTTTTATCTATACTTTTCTTGTCTGTATCCACTAAACGTCTTTTTTTTGTGGGGGCGTTAAACGTTATCCCCTTAGATAAATATTTTTTACAGAATTTATTTTGTTTATTTATTACATGTAGATATATATTTTATGTTAGTTTAGAATCTAATTGTGCTAAACTTATTCTTGATCGGAACGTTTCATAAAATTTGTTGGATCATTAACGAAAAGAAAAGGTTAAAAACTGTTCAACAAAAATCATCTCCAGGATTTGTGGATTCTATAAAAAAAATTTACTTATATAATCTTTAGCTTAGGGAAAACAATTTTAGAAAATCTTTGCTTAAAAAATAGTGTATATTATGGAAAACATATTTTTACTTCCATTTTCGAGTTAACTAAACCAGATGTAAGAGCAACTAAATCCTAATTAGGTTGATGACAGAATGCCTAGAATTGGTACCTGGAGTTCAAATTTTCAACCCCAGCAGTCTTGGGAGTGAATCTAAACAGTTCCCCGGCTTTGAGACGGGTTCAGATCTCCAGGTTACTACAGATACTGTATGCTGGGTCGGAGATGTGAACAGATTGAAACCCAAAGCTTGGAATGAAGTTAAGCATAAACTAGAATCAAGCAGTAGCTTGAACATTCGAGAAACTCCTAAAATTCCAGGTATGTGTCCAGTCCAGAGCCATTGGGTATCACCGCTATCACACAAAAATTCGATGAGAATTTTGCCAATTGCTTAAAAACTAAAGCTTTAAGTAAGTTTTTTATAAGTTCTGAAATGTACATAACGAGTAGACAGTGTCTATGGCTACAAAAAAAGTATGAGTTAGTTCGGTAAAATTAAAAGCCAAGGTGTTGCAAGACCTCAAAGTCACCCCAGTCTTGAAAATTGATGCAACCTTTCATAGCAGACTAGATTTATGTGGTCTAATAAATGAGCTTTTGATTTCTCCCATTTTTGTTGGAAGAAAGATCGATAAGCTTGATTTATAAAGGTAGATAAGAATATTTTTGACTTGGATGATTTCATGAATTTTAAAACATTCTGAACATTTGGTGCTTGGCTGTGATAATATCCAAAACAGAAAAGGCCAATTTTTAGTCTTCTGCCTTTCAAAAATATAAAAAAAATTATGTATTTTAACCTATAAGAAATTAAGGATAATGTAGAGGATCTATTTTCTCCTTAAATCCGAACTAGGAATCATGGAAGGAAAATTAGAAAATACGGGATCCAGTAGTTCTCCAACCTGCATCAGATCAACATGTCCTCCTGCATAGTAATTTATGACCTACAAATATATTGCTAATAAATGTTATTTCTGTCTTAAGCTGAACTAATCTTATCTAAAGTATTACTTTTATTATTATTATATTAATTTCATACCCAGAGTATAGATACTTTAAAATATTTTAAAATAGGTCAAATAAAAATTGTTTACATAGGAATGATTTTAAAAGAATTGAGATTGAATGTACTAACATTCATTGTGCTTCCATACATATTCTCAAAAAATTCTCTAATTTCATAAACATTCTATTTCAAAGTATTCATGGCAGCGTTTTAATTAATCCAAATATTTACAGGATTTACTCATTGTAAATTAAACATGCAATTGTTGTTTCAAGTCATAGGGGGGGGGGGGGGGGGGGGAAGTGTTAAAACATAAGTGATTATTTAGAATTTGATTTTAGCTTTAAAGTTAAACTTCAACAATTAACGAAATAACGATCAGGAAAGTTTATGATTTAGATTTCAGAAAAAAAAAAAATTTTCTTGTCACCTACAGTCTACAGATTGTAAACTTCAAAGTTTTTATGTATCTAAATATTTTCAGATAACCAACAAATACATTCAAATTTTTCTTTGTCTTGTCTGCTAAAAATTCGAAGAACTTAGGGAGTGAATTAATTTCTAAAGAGAATGATGCATCTTCCATTAATATCATGATAATGGAACCTAATTAAGATAAATTGATAAAGGAATTGAATCTTTGCCACAAACTCAAATGTACTAATCCCTATATCCTGCAAACCTGATGGTTAAAACCTTTGATATTTCAAACTTATATTATTTGATCTAGCAGAAATCATAGCTTGAAATATAAAAGGTCTACGACATCGAGTTGCAAAGATATAAGGATTAGCAAATTAAATTTTGTAGCAAAAACTCAATTTCTTTTACTAATTACTATTGACTAGGAGCTGTCTGGAGCTACGCCTACTCGGACACCAGGAAACAGGGAAAGAGGAATATTATCCTTGAATCTCTTCATAGTTATGGAATTATTTATCAAGTAGATGATGAGATAAGGTAACTCACCTGTCATTGTTGTGCAACCTATCAAAATATTTAAATTTTCTGGTCCAGTTATAATATTATAAAAAAGACAAGTCTGACATGAAGGGAGTTAATGTAAATAGATTTAGATTAACCTACAGCCTTGTGTATCTGTATATTCAAAGTAGTAGGCTCTATTTGTTTGTTTGTCCGATCATAACTCTTGAACCCATTGACCGATTTGATTGGAGAAAACGGGTAAACTACGGTAATGTTCTTAGCTAGGTTTAAAATTTTTTAATTAAGTTAGCTGTCTTTAATAAAGAAAGTTTGGTTTGCATGCAAAGCTGGGTTCCCATGAGCTAGTAGTGATTACAAAATTAAAGAAGAACAATTTTTTAAAAGTTTTCGTTCTTTCTAAGGTGTGATCCAATAATGTCATTGTTCTAGAGTATGATCCAAGGATGCTATATTTCCTTAGTATGATATTTCTTAGTGTCATATTTCTTGAGTATGGTCCAAGAATGTTATATTTCTTGAGTATGGTCCAAGAATGTTATATTTCTTGAGTATGGTCCAAGAATGTTATATTTCTTGAGTATGATCTAAGAATGTTATATTACTTGAGTATGATCCAAGAATGTTAGATTACTTGAGTATGATCCAAGAATGTTATATTTCTTGATTATGATCCAAGAATGTTATATTACTTGAGTATGATCCAAGAATGTTATATTACTTGAGTATNGTTTTTAAGGTATAATAATATAGTTTTTAAGGTATAATAATATAGTTTTTAAGGTATAATAATATAGTTTTTAAGGTATAATAATATAGTTTTTAAGGTATAATAATATAGTTTTTAAGGTATAATAATATAGTTTTTAAGGTATAATAATATAGTTTTTAAGGTATAATAATATAGTTTTTAAGGTATAATAATATAGTTTTTAAGGTATAATAATATAGTTTTTCTTTCATTCTTGCCATTCGGGGTGAAGAAAGGATGGATAAAAAAATTTCGGGTTAATAAAATCTATGGAGGTATATTTTTCCGTAGGTAAAGAACAGAAAAATTGCTTGTGCCCGAAAGAGGTATTGATGAATAAGATCAAGGAAGAAGAGTTTTTTTACATTCTTATTACCCATAAGAATATCAACTCATCAAACTTTTTATCAACCCTGTATGAAAGCAGTATTCATGTAATTACGTAATGTTGTTTATTTAAAGTATTTTTCTATGCATGCGAGAAGTCTTATATTTAAAAAATTCTTTATGTCAGAACCAAACGCTTCTATGCCAAAATCCAGATCTCAGAATTTTTAAAAAATGTTACTAGTCGAAATTTACTATGAAATAGAGAGTAAAATGCGAGAAGCATTTTGTAAATATTTGTATATTTTATTACGTATATATCCATATTTATGATATGTTTCTGTAAAATAAAAGTTTGAAAGAGAGTTTATTTAAAGGCAAGCTCGGTATCTGGAACCTAGGATGAAGGAGGAATCTCTTCATCTTCTCAACCAGTACTTCAAGGCATCCAGGGCAGCCAGAGACTCATCTTTGGACAGTATTGGATTCCCAAGGTTTGAACGTTTTTGAAGGAACTGTCGACGTATTTAAAATGCCATATATCCGATTCACAACGGTACTCTTTAGTCCTTGGTCGGATTAACAGTGAGGAAGATATTGTTGGTTTTCCGTCATTTACTTAATTTACTTTAATGTCTCTGCTGCATAAATCCGTAAGTCACTTTTGCAAAGAACCGTAATTTATTTGTTAATTTTTATATGAAATAACAAGAATAACTCATTAATTATTGCTTGATAAATGTTTGAAGGGTACCTTTGTGAGTCGTCGAGAATGAAGGGTCACTTGAAATTATGCCTTCAGTCCCTTTAATATGAATTATAAAGTTATTATTACTTTTTTATTATTAATATCTAGGTGTGCTCTGCAGACTCTTCTAGTAGTTGCTGAGAGTATATCTAAACTAAACCTTGAACCAGAGATATCTTACAACCATTCAGTAATGTCCTGTTATATCTACGAGGAGATTATCTCATCCCTGTCTGGATACTCATTCCTCGGAGTAAATCCGTCCCAGCACTCGGAGACGGGGAGTTTAGAATCCGTCCTAGGCAAACAAAATGATTTGAGAATGAAGGAGTTTGAAACTCAGTTAAAAATGTTCTTCCAAACCTATCTTGTGAACACTTGGGAGGAATAAATATGAGATTAGACTAGAATGATAAACCAAACCATTGGTCTGGATTCACTGGATTGAGTAAATTATTATTTCTCGGCATAAAAAAATTAAAGAATGTAAAAATATATCACAGAAATTAATAACTATGAACTATTTTAATATATTTTTATTCGTAACTTTAACAAATTTTAATTAAAATAAATTAAACAAGCAACGTCTCTCATTAAGGACCTTTTAGGATTGAATTACGCATTATTTGTAAATGTCGTCTTCATTTTATCCTTATTTAATCCAATTCCAATCCAAACCAAACATATTATTCGGCGAGGAAAAGAAGGAAGGATCCAGCAAAATTTAATTGATTCGAGCTGTTTTACTTTCTACGTAATTGACTTCATTGACAATTCTGCTAGGTTAAATATATCCATAGCATATTTATGAATTTTTTCAATTATTTATTCGCAATATAGTAGATGTTAACAAGATATTATCTTAAGATAGTAAAAGTGTCCCGGTTTGGATAGTCTTTATGAGATATTTTTAACTATTTAAAATATTTCAGAGAAAATAATGATGGGGAACCCTGATCCTGATCCCCCGGAGTCCGGAGCAGGAAGATTAAATCCGGACCCTTCCTCCGCACCATATGGCGGAGCCCGTCCTAAGGTTAACGTGAAGCCCAAGGAGAAAAGTAACGGATCCAGGAAAAGTCCTAAAACCGGAGAATCCTATGTTAAAGATTACACTAGTAAACACGGAAGTCCTGTGTATAAAAGAACTCGTGGATTGGATAGAACTAGTTCAAGTGATAACGTTATGTTTATAAATCAGGACGCTAATCTAGATAATTTTCCTAAACTTTACAATAGTAGGGAGAGAAACTCTGTTGAGGATTGGGATCAAAGATCGGATTCTCGAGATTGGATTGGTCGGAGTACAACAGAATCCTCAGGATGGGAGCAATCCCCTTTAGAATCTAGAGATATCCCAATCCTCTCTACTCAACCTATACACAGCAATACAAGCAGTTTACCCAGTATATCTAATTCTAGTGTATCAATGAGTGCTAAATTTGATGATTTAGAGTTTGAATCTTTGGATAATCTTGAACCTATCGAGGATGATTGTTATATATATACATACAAGGGTGGGACAGCATATCTATCTGCCGATCTTCCGACTAGTTTCTTTCGTCTGGACAGTGGTAGCGACGGAGAATCACTTCCAGGTATTTAATCAAGATATAATTCTCTCCTTTAAACTCGTTCGGTATATTCCTAGAGAACGATTTTTGGACCCCCCCCAATGTACTTTGGACTATCAAAACTCATAACTTGAGCCTACCTGTTGTCTTCTTATTTAACAGTTTAACGGGTCTTACTATAGTTTGACTTATGTGCCCTCCCTCCCTTGATTATATCTAGTCCTTGTCTTTATAAAATAAATGTTTAGGAGTATCAGGAGCTGGTCAATCCAACCTATCTACTGGAGTAGCTGCTCTGCTCCAGGACCAGCTGTTAAACCTGCCGGTCAGACCTGACTCCCCGGAGGAGCAGGACTTCCTTGAACTTGACTTTGACCCCGGTTCAGATGATAGTGAGAGAAGTAGTGATAGTGGACAAGGACCCGAGGAAGAGTTAGTTTCTAAGAACGCTCTTATTCGTGCTCCTCTTCTTCCAAACCTTGCTCCACTTCCTTCCCATCCTAGTCTTGTTCCCTTACCTTCTCGTAGTCCTCCTAGACTGTTACCTGAAGCTACATTTAGTTCTCTTAGTGAAACAATATCTCCGAAACGTACGAGTTCTCGTCGGACTAGTCAGAGTAGTTTAAGAGAGTGCACGGGAAGAGGATCCGAATCTCCGGATCCTTCTCCCTCTCAACCATTCTTACTCACTACTTCCAAAGAAATCAAAACAAGATCTTTACAGCCTAGAGAAGTAAACTTTCAAAATAATAATAATCTTTCTGATAGTTGGAAACAAAGTTTGGAGACTGTTCCTCCACCGTGTTTATCTTGCGACATGGAGAAGGATGTAGCTCCTCTCCAGAGTTCCAGTTCCTTTCCTCAGCATCCCGTAACTGCAGTTAGATCTGTTCCTCTCACTAGTCCCGTGGATGATGTTACACTACTCAACGTACCTAGATCAAAATCATTAAACAGCAGCATATCCGCCTGTCTAGCAGCTGATAGTTCAACAGAAGAAGACAAGATTATGCTGTGTGGAAACAGATTATTACAACGTGAAGCTTTTCTCTTTGGTTCAGAGAACAAAGGTATCCTTGAAGCCCTGAATAGTTTAACAATTAGAGAAAAATTGAAACGATCTCAGACCTTCCCACGTGCACTGGTGTGGAGTGAGAAAGATGCGATTAAAAACCATGTTTCTCAGCTCGGAACCTCAGCTTGTGGAGCTACTGCTTTAATGAACGTGCTTATTGCTATGAATATAAATGTTGAACCCGTCGAGGTGTGTAAGGCTGTAAATACACGTCTCCGACGATTAAAAAGTGATCTCCCAGACTATTTATTATCAAGATCAGAGGCAGGTTGTAATCATAGTGATCTACTGGCGGGTATGCGACATATCTGTGGGGATAGAATCAAAGGAAGATTCTTTCCAATGCATGGACTTAAAACTTCTCTATGTACCTGGATAGCTACGTGGATATCTAGAGGTTGTATACCAGTTGCAACGCTAAACGTTCAACGTGCTCCTACAGCCCCTGGGATGCAAATTGCGGATGCATGGCATCACCAGATGATCTGGGGGGTTATTGGTAGGGATATCTTACTAAACAATCCACTTGAAGTGGTTCCGGAGAGTATACTGATACCACAATTAAATTCTCCGTCACAAATCCTTATTCGGAGAGAGGATGTTCTATCCAGGTTCAATAGTGATACAGATCTAACTCCTCTGATCTCGAGCCTACCAGGATCCGGGTTTAATGAGAGATGGTTAGAGTTCAATGTTTTGGGTCAGGTTGTGAACCTGCTCCGAGAGGAGATGTTGCTAAACCATCCTGAATCCGAAAGTATAACGCCAACTTCTCATCTCCGTATCCCGGCAAACTACATCAGTGGAATAACCTTATTTTGTGATAATCCAGAACCCGAAGTTTTGGCTCTTTTTCAGTCGACAGAAGATTTTTCTTTGAGTGATAGATAGCAGTAATTTATTTAGAAGAAATTATCTAATCAAAGAGTGAAGTCATATTGAATCAAACTTTATAGCCCACACCTCTCCATACATCACAATTAGACATTTTAAAAAAATCTGAAACTACTAAACCTTTTTGTTGTTGTAATTTTTCAATTTCATCTGATCTGAACTTTAACTTGAAAATCTCGAAGTAAAATTCATCACGGGATTGTAAAAAAAATTATATTATGGATTCCATTTTTCCTCTACTTTAAATATCTGGGGCTCTGACTTGAAATTTAAATTTTTGTTTTCTCTCAGATTTTAGATGCTAGGTAAACCCTGTACGTAAGTCTTTTTTAGAATCAGAGCTCAACACTTAAACGTTGATAAATGTTAATCCCTGGATCAAGAACCTTATTGTATCTTTTTTTCTTGGATATCTCGTGGATAACTAAAATTAAGGAATGAAGCACTTATTTTCTAAATTTTAAAGTTACCATAGTGGATATCGAGATTATGGTAGATTAGTGCTTTAAACTACTGAAGTTTCAACCTCCTCAGCTTCATGTTCTTATGCGCAGTAAAGATAAAAATAACGATCAAATTTGTCTGAAAGAAAACTTATATGAGGAACAAACATATCAAATAACGCCTTATAATTTTTCTTAAATACCGTAAGCCCTACATTCTCTTTTGCGTTGTCCAAAGCTAAAAATGGTTCGATTTGTTTTTAAATCCAATCTGTTTTTGAAACCTTCCACGATTCTTTTTCATATTTATTTTTAAAGCATCTCGACTAAAAGAATATTTTAAGCTAAACAACTTCCAATCGGGATGGGGTCCACTATTAATTAGAAATATTTTAAGGATTTTATAATTTGTAACTGTTAAATCTATGAAAATGTCTGCAAAGATTTATCAATTAAAGTATTTTGAGAATCCTAAATATTTGCACATTTCATGGATTTAAAAAGGTTTCAGTGGGTTTATTCCCCCTTCTCTTTATCTAGAATTAAATAAAATTATATTTTACATCTCGAAACCATTGAAGTAGTTCGCGAAAATGATTTAAATGCCGAAATCTATTCTGTAGTTATTTAAAAACCTGCCATTTCTATTTATCTAAACTTTTGATTACCATTTAAACGCAAAGGGTTTCTCTGAACTGTAAATGTTAGTTTTTTACATTTTACAAATTCTTAAGTCCTGTCCAAGTAAAATTCCCCATCCAAATTGTAATGCATAAAGGAAATTTTTTTCGATTTTGTTTTACGTTTACGGCAGCTTAAACTTTGTTATCTTGATTTTCTTCGTATGATATTACTCTTCAACTTGACTGCTCACTTTTTGAAGTTTGCCCGGTCCCAGATTCTCTTGTATTAAAGAGACTGTCGACGTAATTCTAAGTGTCATACCTTATAATAAGTTAAATGACCGATTCACAACGGTATCCTTTAACCTTTTAACCGATTCACTGAACATAAATGATGGAGATATCCTTGTATATGAGTCTTGAAAACTGATAATTTTCTCTCAATGAAAGCGGATTGGAGATTTAAGCAGCAGAGAAAAGGAGGAGTTGACTAATCATGTCCCTTGTAGATAGGAATCCACAATATCTTCTCATTGTTACCCAGATAAATATTTAAAGGGTACCCTTGTGTATCGGATATGCCACTTTAAAGATGAATGGCCCCTTGAAATTATGTTACTGTCCCTTTAAGGTCAACGTTCTATCTTGAGATATAAAGAAACTATGTTACTGTCCCAGCGTTCAATCTTGAGATATAAAGAAATTATGTTACTGTCCCTTTAAGGTCAGCGTTCTATCTTGAGATATAAAGAAATATTTATTATAACCAAAAATCTGATAACGCTAGTGCACATAAACGAAATTTTTCAGTGTAAAAACGATGGAAGTACGTTTCCAAATTAGAATATCAGAATTCTATTTCTACATTAAACTGTATTCAACTACATATATCTGTAACCAGCAATATTATTAAAAACCGTGAAATTATTTGTAAATATGTTCTACGCTTATATTTTTACAAATGTAAATATTATAACAGAGCTGAAATATTTCAGATATAAACTGCCCGGTATGGCAGATTCTGCCAGCGAAAGCGATACCGGGAGCCTTGATGGGGTTGGGTTCCAGCCCCCCAGCCCTGTCAGCAGGGAGCAGTTGCATAAACGGATTGAGTCTCTCCAGCAGCAGAATAGAGTTCTCAATGTAGAACTGGAGACATACAAGCTCAGGGTTAAATCACTCCAGGTACATTTAAAAATCTTATCATTTTATTTTGAGTTAGTCACGAGTTTTTCTATTACAATCCAAAATATCGACAACACGATTTGAGTCTGAATTTGATAAAAGTCTAAAGGTGATTATAATATGGAGGTCCGGGATTTCCAAGATCCTTATCTTTTCTTAAATGTTATCATTTACAGAATAAGATGTAAAAAAAATTTTCCGGACTTTCTTGCATTTACATAAATGTTTGAGACAGAATTAAAATTTCATGAAGTTACTTTTAGTTAATATTTCTTTTATTCCTGGTGATCCATTTAAGAAAGAATAGAGGGACAAACAAAAGTGAAATTCTATAGTCACTCTTTAATTATAAAAATATATGCATAAAAGTATTAAAGTACAAGATAGGAGGCAAAATTAACCGGTTTTAGAATCCCGAGATTATTTATTTAATCTCCTGTTCAACGAAATAACCAACCTTAAATTCCCTCCTTTTTTAATTCCAGGGAGGATAATTACTTATCCTCCCTATTTACAGGGAGGATAATTACTTATCCTCCCTCTGTGATCCATACAGATTTAATTCAAGATTTAGATCAAGAAATTATAACTATTAATTACTACTCGTGAGGTTTAGAACCCCAAAAAGGTCTTGGAGGCCCTCGGCTAAGTGGTTTTCCCCTCAATTTAATTATCCTCATGAAAACGCCCGGTTAAGTAGTAATTTATCGTTTAATCTCCTGTTCAACGAAATAACCAACCGTGGGGGATAAAATAATAATGAAATCAATAAAACTATGAATTAATTATGATTTTAATTCTCTTATTTCTTACTAATGCATATGGAAGAATATTTAATTTCTTGATCTAAATTTTAAAGATTTATCAAACTAACATTAAGGGTAATTTTTATTCTTTTTAACAGTCCAAGAACTAGATATTTTTTTAATCGGAGAATTCAAAACATTATGTTTACTGTTTAGGAGGAGAACAAGGCCCTGAGACAAGCATCAGTTCATATCCAAGCCAAGGCGGAGCAGGAGGAGGAGTTCATCTCCAACACACTCCTCAAGAAGATACAAGCGTTAAAGAAGGAAAAGGAGAGCCTGGCCCTCAACTACGAGCAGGAGGAGGAAATGCTGACCAATGATCTGTCCAGGAAGTTGAACCAGCTGAGGCAGGAGAAGGTTCAGCTGGAGCAGACCCTGGAGCAGGAGCAGGAGTGCCTGGTCAACAAGCTGATGAGGAAGATAGAGAAGCTTGAAACGGAAACTCTGTCTAAACAGACAACTCTGGATCAACTGAGGAGGGAGAAGGTTCAGCTTGAGAATACACTGGAGCAGGAGCAAGAAGGTACTGTCAATCCTTATTTTTCTCAATGACTAATATAATATAGGAGAGGACGACAGGGGTTATAATTATAATGTGACGTCATGGGACTGCTAGAGTACTAGATTTAATGTAAATTTGAAGAAGATTGTAAAAAAGTCTCGGAATTCTAGGGGTCTGGGCACTGTGCGTTGCAAACACTATCTATCTTGTTTACATTAAAACTGGTTTCAGGCCTGCCCTATTACATCACTGTAGTTCCATTATTCCTTGTGTTTTTTGGTTACTTAAAACTTTAAATATAATATATCCATCAAAAGTACTGAAATGACGTTTTTTTTTATTTATTTAATTAAAATTAAAATTCAAAATATTCGAATTCATACTGAAAATTTATCAGTGCATGATGTGCATAAAAACTAATCCATAACGTAGTTTCTTATTTCAATCTAATTAATATTCTAGCTCTGGTCAACAGACTATGGAAGCGGATGGATAAACTAGAGTCGGAGAAGCGTAATCTCCAGATTAAACTTGATCAGCCTATATCTGAACCTCCGTCCCCTAGAGAGGTTAATAACAAGAACGGAGATACTGCGGCAAACCTTGCCAACAATATTCATCAGCTGAGGCAGGAGGTTGCCAGGCTCAAGCAGAATCTGAGTGTTGCGGAGCTCAATAATCAGAAGAAAATGCGGGAATATTCTCAGGAGGAGAAACATATTCGTGAGGAGAATCTACGCCTTCAGAGAAAACTTCAACTTGAGATGGAGAGAAGGGAAGCTCTGTGCAGGCACCTCTCTGAGTCCGAGTCTAGCTTGGAGATGGAAGAGGAGAGGGTTGTTAATGAGATGATGTTGAGCGGAGGAGGCCATCCTCTATCTTCGGTTCATAGGAACAGAACCCTCTCCAGTCCTATACCGGGACCATTCCCGGGGCAACCCCCAGCTCCTTCTCCGTCTCCAACCCTCTCTAGACCTTTATCTCCGGGTCTCAACTACGGGGAGAGACGAGAATCCGGTGGGCCATGCCCGCACTCACAGCAGCAGACGGACACATTCACCCCTCCTGCCGCTCTTGCCAGATTTCCAACCGGACAATCAGGATTCTCGCCGATAGGTGGAGCTCGTTCCCTTCCACCTCGTCCCCCGCAGGATGATCTACGTCACGGTTTTCCTAGACCGGAAAAATTTGCTAAACCCGGTGTCCCCTATTCTATCTCCACTAGCCCAGGACCTGTGATTCAGACTCAGAATGTATCTCCTGCTGTGTCTCCGCGTCTTCGACAGGAGAACCCTCCTCCGTCTCCGATGGATGCCGAGGAGAATACCGCTTGAAGGTTCTCTGTTGTGATAAGTGCACCTTGCATTATGTTTATTCTATCTGTGTTCTGATTGCTGGGTTTAGGAACCGTGACTACATACAGATCTGGTCAAATACATTTTTCGAAAGCTTTTTTAATGAAAATTTGAATTTTTTGCGTGTTTACCCCGTTTTAAGCTATAAATGGAGCTTTTTAAGGAGGAGAGGGATTTAATATGTTGATTAAAAATGTAACTTTGTTGTACAATTGCAGAACCTTACATTTAGTGCAGAGAACTGCTGGTTATGCTCAGGATCCGGAAACATTAACCACATTTATCAATAGTTCATTATTGTAAACTGCTTGGGATAAGGATGCCAGTTATACATAGTACATACACATATAATAAATATATATATATAGTTACATTTTACTTTTATGGTTATTCTGTACACTTGAATTGTGATGTAAATCATCTTTTATATTGTTAGCGATATAATTGGCTGATCAGTGTAAATAAAAAATATTCATTAAAGTTTATTTGTCAAGTTTGTGAATTGTGAAAATGAGAAATTGACGTACTTAAACTAGAAGAATATTCTTTTTATTTGGTTTTCTATTTTTTCAGCAAGATGCGTCTTGATAATCACACTGATCAGAAGTTCGGAATCGATCCTTGCTTTAGAAAAATCTTTAAGTTAGGAACTGTCCTCGTAAAGAATTTCCTCTCAACACTACAATGGTCGACCAGATAACGTCTCCGACTGTGTGCGTCCTCGTTATTGTAATGTTACTTATGTCCTACAGCATTCCCGTCCTACAGTACTTCCGTCCTAAGATACTTCAGACCTACACAACATCGGATCTAAGATAGCTGTAGGTCGGATGTACATACAGTTTTGTTAATCCGACCCATGGTCAGGAACTGCAGATGTCAGTATGAAGTTGACTCAGTTGACAGTGCCACCAGAAGTACCGATGCTCCGGTTGCACAACAAATTTACGTAGGTCAGATGCACACTCTTGTAAATCGGATGCACAGATTTTGTAGGTCGGATGCACAACTTTTGTAGGTCGGATGCACAACTTTTGTAGGTCGGATGCACAACTTTTGTAGGTCGGATGCAGAACTTTTATAGATCGGATGCACAAATTTTGTAAGTCGGATGCACAACTGTAGTAGGTCGGATGCACAACGTTTGTAGGTTCGACCAACAGCAGCTTGAAGCTGCTGAAAAACCACGTGCGGTATAGGTCCGAAGTATCGTAGGACGACTGTGTCGTTTGACGGATGTAATACAATCCTAATTATCTTATCAGAAAACAACTAACGTGAGACACCGATCGGTTGAATTATCGTCCCCCAAAATACGTCATAAAGACGTTGTTTGTTCATACAAGAAACGTACTCCGGAATATGTTATACATTCATGTGGGGTTTCCAAAGAATGTGAAGAAGGGCCGAATTTCAGAATAACTATGAGAGGACCGGGCTGAATTTCAAAATGTTTACGAAAGGACGGGCTGAATTTTAGAATAACTGACAGGACGGGGCTGAATCTCAGAATATTTATGAAAGGACGGGCTGAATTTTAGAATATTTATGAAAGGACGGGCTGAATTTTAGAATAACTGACAGGACCTAGCTGAGTCTCAGAATATTTATGAAAGGGCGGATCTGAATTTCAGAATATTTATGAAAGGACGGAGCTGAAATTCAGAATCTATGAGAGGACGGGGCTTATATTTAGAATAACTATGAAAGGACAGAGTGGAAATTCAGAATAACTATGAAAGGACAGAGCTGAAATTCAGAATAACTATGAAAGGACGGAGCTTAAATTCAAAATAACTATGAAAGGACGGAGCTGAAATTCAGAACAACGATGAGAGGACGGTGCTGAAATTCAGAATAACCATGAGAGGACGGGGCTGAATTTCGGTCAGAAAGAAGATTACACTTTAAGGTTAGTAACGGAGAAAGGGTAGAGTAGTAATGGTGATAATGTTCTCTTATGAGCGGGGGAAGGCAGGCGGCCATAAGCCACAATATTTTCCCCTTCCATGCCACATATTAGCTTCTACATTTGACCCTTCCGGCAATTATTACGTTTTTAAATGATAAATTATGTGCATGTCAAATTATAATTTCAAAAATCTAGCGGCATTACGTGAAAGATGATACCTTTAAAAAATTTAAGAAGTTTATTAAAGATCAATGAATTGTGTGTTCAGTTGTTAAACTGCTTTATATTTTACAATGAAGATTTTACATAATTATACGTATAGTTCCTTGGTGGGCACTGAGACAAATAGTTTGGGGGAGTTTAAAGAATAAGAAAAAATGAGAAAAAAGAAGAGAAAAATCACAATTAATTGAAATTACATGAGCGTTACAGATTTACACAAAAAATTCCATTTTGCATTTTCTCCCTAAGTAATGCAAATTTTCGTTTACCCTTTGAACATAGAGTTATTATGGTACATATTTTTTATTTTTCATAATGTATTTAAAAATAAGCCATTTTAGAGGAAAGATTGAATTTATTTTTGGGGAAAAATATGTTTTGCTGTTTACATTAAAATGAATCATTATTATTTCAATGTAAAACTTAATATAAAGATATGTTTATCTTTTGTATAACGTGGCTGTTTTTTTTTTGAGAATCGCAGTTCGGGGATGTATAACTTTCTGTTTGCCAAAAAATATGAGCTTTCATTGGGTTTTGGGGAAAAATTGAAGAAAAATTTAAAAAGGGGGAAGGGAAGAAAAGGGAAGGGAAAAAGGGGAAAAGGGAAGGGAAAAGAGGCTTAAGGGAAGGAAAAAGGGGTAAGAAGAAAGTTAAAAGGGGGAAGGGGAAAGGGAAAAGGGGGAAGAGGGAAGGAATAAAAAAAAAACAGTATCAGAAATGTTTTAAAAAACTCAGGGGGCACTTTGAACCTTGAAGTTTAACTTTTTAGGGCACCAAAATGCTCCAATACTAGAAAAATCCAAAAATTGTCTTTGCCTGGGGGCTCTGCACAACCCCCCCCCCCCCAGCCACAGCAAACTTCGTCGAAGTTTGCGCGGGCTTCAGAAACAACCTGTAAAATATACCTGTTTTTAAGTTGTGGATTTGGAGAAAAAATGTGATTCTGAAAAGGGGGGGGGGACTTTTAAGGGGAAATACTTATTAGAAAGCTTTTAATCTACATCTATTTTTATATAATACAACAAGACATTCGTATATATGTTCCCCATAGCCGGCCAAACGGCTGTACCGAATGGGCTGACATTTTTTTTAGAGAACCCTTGAGTACCCCGGGGTTGACATAGACTAAAAAAAAATTCGAAATTTTTTATCGTAATTTTTGTTTTTCGATTTTGTTTTCTTCAAAAATCCAAATTTTTTTCTTTCAAAGTTTGATTTTAAAAAAATTCTACTGGAACGCCGGGCACTTCAGCTAGTCCATTCCTGAACTATATAGAGTACATTTGTTTGTGTTTTGGGGAGTTTCAAAAATTGAAATGGATATCCCGGAAATCCAATTCATTTAGATGTTTCCGTATTGAAAAAGTTTAGCTTTAAATGTGACATATTGACTAAAATTATTCTGACTTTGTCGTTAAATTATTTTCTTTAATCTGTATGAGAGTAAAAAAATATTTATTATTTATGGCTGAAAAACTTCTTTGATCCAATTGAACTCCTTTTAAGATCGACGCTAGAGCCAAAAATGGTATTATTTTTCGAAAACGCATGTTTAGAAATGGATTTAGATGTTTAATGACACCTACCAGCCCTCTAAAAATTCTCCGTACCCTACACAATGCATTCATAAAACTTCCATTTTTTAATATTACATGTATTAGACAAAAAATAAGTGTAACTTATCAAAAAGAATTTAAAATTGGAAGTTAGGTATTTTCCCATGAAGGGTATTTTCCCAAGTGGCAACTTCCCAACTGTGCAACTAAACCCAAGCGGCAACAAAGCCTACCCTAGCCGCATCGCTCGGCCCCTAGTATTTTTCTAGCCGCAGCGCTCGGCCCCCTTTACTTACAGCTTGCGGTGCCTCAGAAGGTCTAACCTAACCTTTGGGAAGCTGCTGCTTGGGAAATTGCACATTTGGGAAGTTGCCCTTCGTTAAATTGTCACTTGGAAAGTCGCCCTTGGGAAAATGACTTTGGAAAAATACATAACGTCTAAAATTGATACCGTACTTGACTTCAGCTTAATTATCTGAACAATCCCTAATTAATACAGGGTTGCCCACAAAGGATGAGACTGTAAAGAGTACTTGAAACCAGGCGCGCAACTAGATAATTTGTTAAGGGGGGGCAATAGTGAAACATTTCGCCCCCCCCCCCAACATTTTTAGGGGGGAGGGGCAAGAAAAATGAGTATTATACTCAAACAATAAAAAACCTAACCGCAACCAACCGGATATTCAGTAAGATCAAGATCAACACATCTGATATGAAATAAAAAAAGAAATCTATTCTGGTTTTTACAGTTTACATAAATATAGATTCATTATTCATCCATAAATCAAATATGTACATTGTACTCATAAAAAAATCTTGATTTTACATATGAAAAATATTTTTTTTCATATGACACATCACACAATATTTGCGGTGAACATGTGTAGGATTAATTGAATAGTTGTACTACAGTATTAAAGCAATATCATAATAAGTGGCAGAACTGATAGTTAAAATATCTAAAAATACTTAATAAACCCCCTTTCCCAGGAATTCATGAATCGCTAAATTGAAAAACATGGTGGACTTCTTTCCCGGGGGGGGGGGGAGGCGTGCAAGCCCTCTTAAAGGAGGGGCATGCCCCCCCTTAGTCAGGCTAGGCCCTAGTTGCGCGCCTGCTTTAAACACTTCTAATATGACGATCCCAGTTTAAAATTAGACTTATGCAATGCATTGAATGTAGTCTTTAATATAAGAAAACAACCAGTACAAATTCCGTACAGTCGTCTCTGAAGTCTCATTCTTTGTGGGTAAGCCTGTATATGCATATTGGTTTTATTTTATCTTTTGTATTTTTTGACGAGGGGGGGGGGGATGAGCTGGCTGTCTAGGGCTTCATAGAAATATTAAACCCCCTTCAGCCTTGTAGTTCTTCAACATCATTTTAGAACATCATCATAAGCCTCAAATCTATTTTGAAACTAATTGATGAAAATAATTGGAGACATATTAAGTAAGGTTGGTTTTTATTAATCTATATCTATAAATATTTACTTTTCTGTCTGTCTGTTTGTTTGTTTGTTTGTCTGTTAACCGAAAAACGTCAAACGGCTGAACCGATCGGGCACAAATTTTGTGTGGGACCTCACACAACCCCAGTAAAGTTTTATGAATCCATCAAAATTGGAAAATAAATTCGAAAATAGTTGAAATTCGGAAAGAAAAACCCGCCAAATTTTTTAAATGATTTAAAATGGCCGACTTTCATAGGAAGAGTTAAACGCTAAAAGTTATTACAGGAAAATTTCACGAAACTAATTTTTGTTTGAACTATCTTTATACCTGAATTTGTTATTAAAGGGACTGTCGTTGTAATTTTAAGTGACCCTGCAAGAGGGGCCTGCCCAGTTTACAACGGTAACCATGAATCTGCAGCTTCATCTCATCTATTAGGTGGTAGAAAGCGTCGTTATCGCGAGCTTGAAAAGTGTTTAATCCTGATAATTTCTTTACTACCAAAAAACATTTTTCAAGAAAAACCACAAATGAAAATAATCAGTTTTTAAAAACAAAGCAGGAATAGTTCATAGTTGATCAGACAAAGCTTTATAGAGTTTCGTTGTTAATCGGACATACCACTTAGGGGTGTAGTAGGTGTTACAGGAATTAACATAATAAATTAGAAGGTTCTTGATTTTCTTCTGTTTAAAATAAGGCAGATTTAATGCTTAAATGTTTTAATTAATATCTAAGATTAGTACTCGAACCTCTTCTATTTTTTTTAGCAAATTCCGTAAACTTTTGGTATTTTTTTCTCTTTCTTTATTTTTCTTTATTACATTGGGTTCTCCATTTTTTAAAGCCATATCTATTTTTCAAAATTTAAACAAATAAAAACAGCTATTTTTGTCATTAAAATAAAAAACCTACAAAAAATCACATAATTTTGGGAAAGGTTTAATTTAAGTTGTAAACTACGTTATTCCTCAATTAGGATAGTTTTGTAAAAGAATTGTGTGCAATTAAGTTGTAATCGTTTGTTACTTGATATTCGCCAGGATATTTAATGTAACGTTTAAGTGCGTTTGCAAAGTTTATTTGACGAACGAAGGGGATATACTGAATTAACGGATAAGGGGATATATTGAATTATCGGATAAGGGGATATACTGAATTAACGGATATAAGGGGATATATTGAATTATCGGATAAGGGGATATACTGAATTAACGGATAAGGGGATATATTGAATTATCGGATAAGGGGATATATTGAATTAACGGATAGGGGGATATATTGAATGAACGGATAAGGGGATATTGAATTAACGGATAAGGGGATATATTGAATTAACTGATAAGGGGATATATTGAATCAACGGATAAGGGGATATATTGAATTAACGGATTAGGGGATATATTGAATTAACGGATAAGGGGATATATTGAATTAACGGATAAGGGGATCGTGCAATATGTATATATTGTATAGGATACACGGATAAGGGGATGTTTTAATCAAATGAGGGTATATGTGTAGAGTCAAACTCATGTTGAAAGATAATTCAGATATATACAAGGCTACCCGCTTAAGGAATTTGAGACTTAATAAGACGACTTATGGAATTTATTTAATGGAATTTACTTTCATGGTTTCCTGTGTATAACTGGTCTTCTCTTTTTACATAATTTTGTCTGTTTGTCCGTAAAATCTATTTCTAAGGGTAAAAAGTCAAATTCCACCTTTGGATCCTAATATTTAAAAAGAGTTAATTGGGTACGTTATTAAGTCTCTAAATATTATTGTGAATAACCCTGTATCATGGATAAAGGTCGTCATTATAAAGTCTTAAGTTTTTTATATCTTCGGGTACCCTGTTAACCATTAACCAACCCATGTTTATATTATACAGTGTGCAAAGGTAGCAAATTGCAAGTGTTAATTTTTGAGTGATCGTGTGTCTGTTAGTGTGTGTTTGTGTGTTGCGAGTGTGCGTGTGTGTGTGTGTGTGTGTGTGTGTGTGTGTGTGTTCGTTGGAGGTTTTGTATAGCTGACGGGTTGCGCCTGCGCAGTATCTGAGATTGTACAGTTGCTCTCTAGTTCTCTCTTCAGAGATCTCAAACCGCGAGTCTTAATAAATATCGGTCTGAAATGGGAGGGTGGGTCTGTGTCACAAGTGTCAGTTTCTCCAAACATGTAAATCTAAACTAAAAACAAAGTTCAACATACACGAAGGAGCTTGATAACAGTCGGGAAATGAGTGTTGTCCTCTGTGAAAAATGTTGAACCCGTTACAAACACCTCTCACCGTTAATTCGGTTTCGAGGATATCTAATGGCTACATCTAGAGAATACCATCAAGAGGAACCCCTACTCAATACGCTCTCTATCTCCGATCAAAAAATAGCGATGTTTGCGAACGTTAACAGTCGTTCTCTATCCCTTGCCAGCATCAGTTCCGAGGGTAGTACGGAGAGTCATGCGGTTGAACAGGAAGATATAATTGCTCTTACTCAGGACGTTCGTTCCTTCAAGGATGTACTCAGCAGACTCAGGAAGGTTTACCAGTCTGAAGCAGACTCTTCAGAGACAATACGTGTCACCTCTCATGAAAGACTAAGTGATGTTTTGAAGATTCTCCGACATATTCTAGAGAAATATCCAGCTATACAGTCTCATGATTTAGTAGCTGCGGCAGGGTTACTTATTAAAACAGTTAAAGCTCTTAATAAACCTCGGGACAATGAGATTGATGATATTCACATGCAGGATCCTAAAGAGTTCTACGAGGCCCTGGATGGTCTCGCCTTGGCTTTCAGCTCTCGAGTTTCCGAATATTTAATGGGAGATCTGGATTCTAATGTTTCTATGTCCAGTGCGTCCAGTAAAACTAAATCTTATGAAAACCTTCTCCACTCTCATGATCCCGATTCAACCGCTCTAAATTCTCAACAGGTAAAATATTTTGGATTTAAAGGTTAAAATTTTAAAAAGTTTTTTTGGTAGTTTTTGAGTTTGGGGTTAAAATGAATTTAGTTGGGGGGTTGTTCCTTGTTTATGTATTTAGTTTATAGGTAATTAAGGGTGAAATATCGTTTGCACTAATGATTGATCGGACTAACGTACATTCGTACTAATGTTCATTCGAACTACAGTGCGAATAAACACCTAATTGTTCAGTCAAAGTCAGAGTGGAAGGTTTTTTGAGCAAATGGAGAACTTTTTTTTTAAATGCTCTATTGAGTAAATTTTAGTGCAAATGAACAAAAAAAAGTTTAATCGAACTAAAATCTAAAACTTCACCATTTGCATATTTACCCTAATTTGCACAAATAAACATATTTTAGTGCAAATGAACAAAAAAAAATGTTCAATCGAACGAAAATTAAAGTTTCACAAGTTTTTTATACATTAAATCTAATTAGAACAAGAAATGTCCAATCGAACTAGAATTTAAAATTTCACCATTTTGCCCATAAATTATAATAAGTGCAATTGAACTTATTTAAGAACAAATAAACAAAAAATGTTCAATCGAACTAAAATTAAAGATTTCACCATTTTGCCCATTAATTATAATCATTTAAAGAACAAAAACATTAGTCCGTTTGAGCAAATTCTTTGTTGGAAATGTTCATTCAGGGGCGTACGAGGGCTTTTGTTTATGGGGGGCACAATTTGCGACGGCCCCCCCCCCTCGTACGCCACTGTGTTCATTTGCACTAATGTTTAATTTCACGAAGATTTACATAAAAACATTAGTCCGTTTGAACAAATTTTTTGTTGGAAATGTTCATTTGCACTAATATTTACAGAGAACACATTAGTTTATTTCCGTTTGATCATATTTTTTGTTGGAAATGTTCATTTGCACTAATGTCAAATTGTACTAATATTTACAGAAAAAAACTTAGTTCGTTTGAACAAATTTTTGTTGGAAATGTTCATTGCACTAACGTTCAATTGCACTTAATAACAGAAACAAAAAATAGTTCGTTTTAACAAATATTTTAAGTATAATTCAAGATCAATTGCACTGATGATTATTTGTGCTAATTATTCCTGGCAAGAAAACAAAATTTTAGTCTAATTGAACACGGTTGAGCTCGATTTGTGTTCATTTTCACTAATGTTCAATACTAATACAAACCTGTTTCCGATCAGCCGGCCTTAGTGCAAATGTACGTTAGTTCAATCGGACATTAGTTCAAACGATATGGCATTAAAGTTTTTTTAGTGAGGTTATTTTTTTTTGTTTTAGGAAAGTATAGAGCATATTAAAACGTTTTTTTTTATATGTTTAGAGTGAAGAGGATATTTTGAGTTCTGACGAAATAGATTCTCGTCTCATGCATCATGACCGAGGTGTTGATCACGCACTACAGAGAGCTAAAATCTGGGCTAAATACGCCAAGGATGTTCTGAACTACGTGGAGAAAAGGACCGCCATGCAGATGGATCTATCCAAGAACCTGACAAAGCTGGTTCAGGCGAGCAGACCTCAGCTCCAGGAGGAGATATTCCTGCCCTTTCAAAGCATTTATTGTTTAGCCCTAGACCAGGATCTGGAGATGTGTGCTCTAATGCAGGCATCCTGTGGTCTGCTTCAAGGATGTAAGGTAGGAAGAAAACAGAACAGGATTAAATTCAGAAATGTGAAAAACATAAAAATTTTGCTAGTTAAATTGTGTCTTTAAACCTCTTTGCTGAAATTGAATTTATAACATTCTGTTTTGAGACAATTAGCTTATCCCTAGTTTAATACGGTGTTAAGTAACTCCCAGATCAAAATTTTGCAATTTCTTTATTTTGAAGAACAAAGATAGATCTTTAATCAAACCTGTATTTTAGTTCCTGGAACCCCTGCACTCCAGGAGGGTAGAACATGAGAGAACAAGGAAACTGTTAAAGGACGCCTGGCACAAGGAGTTGAAGAGGATGCAGGAGGAGGTGAGCAATCTCAAGAAGGCCAAGACTGCTTATATCCAACGTCACCAAGAGTGGGAACGGTGCCGCGACGCAGCACGAATTGCTGAGCAGGGAGCAGAAATTGGAGCAACCGCAGAGAACAAGGTGAATTAGAGTTTTTTTTTTCTTCATATTTATATTTATAAAGGGCGTTTTGACGCAAGTATTAACTCTGTAAACAAAGATTATGGTCACCCTTTTTAACATTTTGTATTTGACATATCATTATCTAAGATAAAAGTATACTTAAGGGGTTCTTGAATAAAATCACCAGATTTCCAGCTAATTTTTAACAAAGAAAGAAAGGCATCTTTGGTAACACTTAGAGCTTGTATAAATATTTTAGTTGGATAAACGGAAGAAGCTGGAAGAGGATGCTGCTGGCAAGGCTATAGAGGCTGAGACCCACTATAGGAACTGTGTAGACGAGGCTAACGACCGGCATAGAAACCTGCTGAACGTGAAGGGAACCATCCTCCAGCAGGTTCGTGAGCTCCTAATGCAGGCGGACCAGACGATGAAAGCTGTGACCGTCAGCTACTTCCAGCAGCAGCACAGTCTAACAGCCTCCAGCCCGGTTCAGTTTCAGACACTCTGTGAGAGCTCGAGACTGTACGAGCCTGGAAGCCAATATATGAAGTTTGTGAAGAGGCTCCCGGACCCACAGATTAACAGGTTTTCAGAGAGGGATCCATTCTCATTCGAGGAGTATACAGAGGGACTAGATAACGTTCTGAGCTTTGATAAACAACGGAAGGTAAGCGGGTTAAATTACAATTAAAAATATAAAATTAAAGATAAAAGTTGTGCGGAAAAAATTTCTCATTTTTTTTTGAAGTTTANGGGGGGGGGGGGTTGAATAATGGATCTTCTAGATGCAAGCAAAACATTCCGTGGTTCTAGTTAGTTCGAGTTATAATCGGAAATACAAACAAAAAGTCAAACAGAGATTACTACTATATGATATACAAGTCCCTTAAATCTCAATTTAGTGCTGTAAAGGATTTAATATGATGTGGGACACCCTGTATATTAGATAGATTAAGAAGCAGTTGACCTAGCTTAATATTGGATTGTTAATTATTTCATTATATATTCAGGGTGTCGTAAAAAAGGGTGATGATGGATTTTAGAGCTTTTGTTTCCATAATAAAGTCTCTAACACGGCCACAAATTAAAAAAACAATCGATTCAGGAGGGAGATTTTTTCACTTTTTTTATTCGAAGCATTTGTTGTTATCAGTAAAGTCCGAATATAAAGCTCTAGGGAGGAAAAAATCTCAAATGATGAAAAATAAAACATTAATGTAGAATATGCTCTATGACAAATATGGGTTTTGTCAGCTTCTGGTAGTATTGCTTATCTGTAGTTGAAGGATGCTTCCCAGGTCTGAACTCTGATTTCTTGATCTTGCAATGATCAGGGGCTCCACTCTTTAGTGCATCTTTTCTTCAGCTTGATCTCATAATCGATGAAGAATGCTTCAGCTCCAACCCTGAGTCGCTCCAAATGCTCTAGATTTTCAGCTTCTTTTTCCTTCTTAGCCTGGTTTTCGATAAGATCAAGAAAACAGAAAGCTCCAGTTTCCTTGACTCGCTGATCAACTGAACTTTAGCACTAAGGACGTAAAACGCATCAGTTTCCCGAAAATTTTGCAATCCGTTTTATTAATATCATTTTTGTGAATAAATATGTTCGATTGATTAGTTTTTAAACGAGTTTTTACTTACATAATTTTAATATTTTAGTCGAGCGCCAGCTTAGAGAGCAATGATGAATCCTCAACTGCAGGAGTAGGATTTAAATCAAGGATGGCCTGGAGTCCTAGTGTCGGAGCTGTTGAACCCAGTGACACAGAGTCGATTGAATCCAGAGAATCTGCTAAATCCAGAGATACTAGTCCATCCCACTCTCCTACCGTCGAACCTAAAACCTTTCAGAATTATACAACTCACGAGGTAAGACATAGGACCCCCTCGATATCGTAAAGGAATAAAAATGAAAAATGGATCTAATGCTTCTATTTGTTTAATGGTGTTCTCTTCTCAGAAAATTCTAAAATGGACCTAATGCTTCTATTTGATTAATGGTGTTTATCTTCTCAGAAAATTCTAAAATGGACCTAATGCTTCTATTTTTTAATGGTGTTCTCTTCTCAGAAAATTCTAAAATGGACCTAATGCTTCTATTTTTTAATGGTGTTTATCTTCTCAGAAAATCCTAAAATGGACCTAATGCTTCTATTTTATAATGGTGTTTATCTTCTCAGAAAATTCTAAGATTGAGCTAATGCTTCAATTTATATGCTATTTTTAGGTCCTTTTTTCAATTTTAAAATTGAAAATTTTTTTATGTTTCCTATGATACCTTTAACCCTTTAAATATATAATCAAGGTTTCNGTAAACCGGAGATTTTTTCTCTGTCTAAAATTTTAGTATTTGATTTTTAAAATATCTGTAATTGTTCAGGATCATGAGGATATTGAGGCATCGGGAGGATCACATGCTAAACGGCATTGTATGTCTCGAGCCGCCAACTCTCACGATTTCAAGAAACTAAACAAACCATCACGGTGTCGAGAGTGCGACTCTTTTGTGTATTTCAACGGTTACGAATGCGCCAAATGTGGACTTTCTGCGCACAAGAAGTGTTTGGAAACCATCCATTTAATGTGCGGTCAGAAGCGACTACCTAGAAAGATGACGACTTTCGGAGTTCCTCTTGGAGATCATCTGCTCCAGGTCGGGGCTGAGATACCGCCCCTCGTCTGCAGATGCGTCCTGGAGATTGATCAGAGAGGAATTAATATTAAAGGTCTATATCGGGTCTCCGGAGTAAAATCTAAGGTAGAGAAATTATGCCAAGCATTTGAAAATGGAGCCGACCTCGTTGATCTTTCTGACGTCCATCCTAATGTGATTTCCAACGTTGTGAAACTATACATGAGGCAGCTCCCTGAACCTCTCTGTACATTCCGACTTTACTCCGACTTTATCCGAGAAGGGCGAAGATGTCCTGCTCTAGAGCCTGGTCAGCTTAAACCTGGTGACTGGGAGAAGATGGAACAGGATGCTACGGAGAATTTAAGAAAGTTATGTTTACAACTGCCAAAATATCATTTGAAAACCCTTGGTTTCCTCTGTCATCATCTTCATAGAATTTCTCTTCAATCTGAAATAAACAACATGCCGGCGAGTAATCTTGCTATAGGTACATTTTTATATTTTTATAAGTTATTATTGCTTAATTGTCAATCCGAAACTTCAATTTTTTATGTTAAATTAATTTGTTATTTATCTACTTTATTTAAAGTATTTGGACCAACTCTGCTGAGAACCAGTGAGAGTCCTGCCACCCTGTCCAGTGTAGTTGACACTAAGGAGCAGGTGCGGGTGGTTGAACTAATGGCAAAGTATGCCTGGGATATATTTGGACCGGAGGCGAACCTAATGCCCCGGGATTACGAGACTAGACCTGTTAAACATAAACACAAGAGGGAGCAGAGTCCTAGGCTAGACGAACTCATGGAAGATCATAGAACAGGTACAAGTTAGTTAATATCTTGCAGGGGGAGAAATTTTACCCTCTATCATTAGCTGCCTTCTCCCCCCCCCCCTCTTCTATTAGATGAATTTGTAAAAATATCTCGTTCGCTGCTTTCTTGGTTAAAGAATTTTTGGAAGAACATTACGGAAAATTTTTAGTTTTTTTTAGAACAACCTGTTTTAGATTTTTAAAATTGTGAAAATCAGCATATAGATTACAAAACCGTTTTATACCAAAAAAGTTTCTGATTTTTTTAAACTGTTTTTTTTAGCTTTTGAGAATTAAAGTTTTCACCGCATATTTTTCCTCGTTTTTTGGTGAACCAATTGTTTAAAAAGTTTCGAATGTATATATTATCCTGTGCTATCTTCATTCTCATTTATCTTTCTGCCCTCCTACATTTTGTGCAGAGGGGATAATTATGAAAAAAGATTCCAATTTATTTTTAATTTTTTCCTTCGAAATCTTCCTTTCTTGTAAATCTTAGCTCTAGTTTTCCGGGAATTTTTTTAAAGAGATTTTCTGAAACCCTAAATGATTGGCATCCAGTTCAACGTGATTTTAATTAAGTGTTCTTATGCTTATTTTTAGGATCGTTTACTGATGATGAAAACGACAATGAACCAATCCCATTTTTCCTTCTACCTGATGATTCTCAAAAAGTGAAAAAATCTCCTCTTCTCACACGGCCTGGATCTCCTCCACATATACAACTTGTTTCTCTTAAGAACTTTTCCGGATTAGAAAACGTGCGCGCCGGTCAGATTTCCGGCCAGGATAGTGTAGACTCAGTCCCACATAGACTCCGACACCAGCCAACCCCGTCCTCTGAAAAGCCTCACGACAAGGACGGAGAAAAGCAAAATATTTCTATCCTGGAAGAGAATAAAGTAAAGATCCAGGTTCCCGGGTTACCTGTGGGTAAAGGATGAAACAAATAGACGGGATTAAAAACATAGATTATGATCAAGTTCTCCAATCCCGGTTCTCAACCCATCAGTTAAAGATCGACAAAATGAGATAAATTATCACAAGTTATTATAGAACCTGGAGCTTAAACTAGTAATTTGGAAGTATTTAAACGTGGTTAACTAATAAGCTCTGTTTAGAGAGTTCAATATTTTATCATGACAACTCTTGGCACAATTAGGTGTAGGAACTAGGAATAGGAACGGATGATGAAACGAATGTTTAAACTTTTTGACTAACTAAATATTTAAAAATAATTCTTCATTATAAACAGGACCAATCAACTTATTCGTACGGATTCTCTTATTTTCTGCTGGCACAGACAAACTCAAGTAAAACTTTATTTGATGAGATTTCTAGCACACTCTGTAGTGATAAGAACATTGCAGGGTTCTTATTTACTCTGCTTTATATAGAATAAGATTAATTCTCTTCAAAGTTTGTACTCTGTAGTGGATATAGGATAAAGGATAGAATACTGCTCTGCTAAGTAAAGTTCTATTCTACTCTGCAGTGTAGATGATTCATTACTGCTCTACAAAGTGAAATTTTATTATACTCTACAGTGCAGAGGATAGAATACTGCTCTGCAAAGTTCAGTTTTATTCTACTCTGCATTGTAGTGGATAGAATACTGCTCTGCTAAGTAAAGTTCTATTCTACTCTGCATTGTAGAGGATTCATTACTGCTCTACAAAGTGAAATTTTATTATACTCTACAGTGCAGAGGATAGAATACTGCTCTGCAAAGTTCAGTTTTATTCTACTCTGCATTGTAGTGGATAGAATACTGCTCTGCTAAGTAAAGTTCTATTCTACTCTGCATTGTAGAGGATTCATTACTGCTCTACAAAGTGAAATTTTATTATACTCTACAGTGCAGAGGATAGAATACTGCTCTGCAAAGTTCAGTTTTATTCTACTCTGCATTGTAGTGGATAGAATACTGCTCTGCTAAGTAAAGTTCTATTCTACTCTGCATTGTAGAGGATAGAATACTGCTCTGCAAAGTAAAGTTTTATTCTAATCTGCACTGTAGAGGATAGATTACTGCTCTACAAAGTAAAGTTTTATTCTACTCTGCACTGTAGAGGATAGATTACTGCTCTACAAAGTAAAGTTTTATTCTACTCTGCAGTGTAGAGGATAGAATACTGCTCTACAAAGTAAAGTTTTATTCTACTCTGCACTGTAGAGGATAGATTACTGCTCTACAAAGTAAAGTTTTATTCTACTCTGCAGTTTAAGAGGATAGAATACTGCTCTGCAAAGTAAAGTTTTATTCTACTCTGCACTGTAGAGGATAGATTACTGCTCTTATAAGTAAAGTTCTATTCTAATTCGCAGTGTAGAGGATAAATTACTGCTTACAAAGTAAAGTTTTATTCTACTCTGCACTGTAGAGGATAGAATTCTGTACTGCAAAGTAAAGTTCAATTCTACTTTGCAGGGTAGACTGTAGTGTAGAGGATTGAAATACTGCTCTGAAAAGTAAAGTTCTATTCTACTTTGCAGTGTAGGCTGTAGAGGATTGAAATACTGCTCTGAAAAGTAAAGTTCAATTCTACTTTGCAGTGTAGGCTGTAGAGGATTGAAATACTGCTCTGAAAAGTAAAGTTCTATTCTACCCTGCAGTGTAGGCTGTAGAGGATTGAAATACTGCTCTACAAAGTAAATTTCTATTCTACCCTGCAGTGTAGAAATTCCTTTGCAATGTTATATTCTTGTCTTCTCTGCAGTGATGAGTAGAGAGAAAGTACTCTGCAAAATTCTATCCTTTTCTGCAGTGAATTGAGAATATCTTCCTTTATCTGAATTAGTGGAGAGTATTCATTCTCCAGATCAGACTCCGTATTGTGTTCTATACAGCAGCAAGAGTTCCTTTTGAGAAGTCAGGTTTCTAATCTCATGGATTCATCAAAGAAATTTTAATCCACGGCTCTGAAACCTCACCTCTTCATTTCCAATATTCTAGATATAATCGCTTATTGGAAACCAGAATTAATAATTTAGTTAAATCGTATCATAGATTTTATATTTTTATCTTTAACAGTCCCGTAGGTTAACCTAATCTATACTTAGCGCAAACAGTCTTCGAATATACAAAAAGAATATACTATAGCCCCCCCCCCTCACACACATTTTTTAATCTTCCAGTCAGCTTCTGATACATTCTCACAGTTGGTTCAACTGACAATTGCTTTGGTCATGGCCTTTCTATATTTTCTAGTCTTCTTGGAGGTTTCATAGGTCTTACTTCCTCTTTTCCTTTTAAACTTCAAAAATTCAAGCTTGGAATAAAAAGTCAAATCAAAAAAGTTGTATAAATTCTAGGAATTTGGCCACATCAATTTTTTGAAAATTAATATTTAGTTAAATCGAGTTTCTGGCAGCAAATTAAGTAGTTATCAATTTTTTGGGATTGATAATTTATTAAGTTTTTAAATTAAAACATTTTATTGCATTATTAGGAACAAATTGATTTAAGAAATTTTGTGAATAACTGTTGTTTATTAACTGTTTTCTATTTCAAATTAAGCCTTTTTTATAAACTAGTGACTGCTCTTTAAGACTCATTCTTCATAAATGAAAGCTAGGCAGATAAGTGTTTTAAAATGTAAATGCACTTATTTTAAAAATGGAATCATTGCACTATTCGAGCAATTTGATAAAAAAAAAAAAAAAAAAATAAGTGTTTTAAAATGTAAATGCACTTATTTTAAAAATGGAATCATTGCACTATTCGAGCAATTTGATAAAAAAAAAAAAAAATTCTGTTTCTGTAAATTAATTTTTATTTTTGACGTTATCCTAACAAGCTTGTTAAAAAAAGAAAATATGATCAATTACAATTCTATTTTAAAATTATCAAAACATCTGATACAAATATGTTTGACTAAATCTCTGCATCTACTCATCATTAATCGGCAATGGCAATAAGTCATTTTATTTTCAGATTAATATTTGAGCTTAGGATTTAAAAGCTCTCAATTCTTTTCCAAAATACCACGGAACTTATTGTATAAAAACAGTTATATTTATAAAACCAGACAATGTAAAATTTTTTGTGTATAATTACAACTAGAACTTAATTCCATATCATAAAATGATCTGATATCAATTATTTTTTTGTAAATATTTTTATAATTAATCCGACTTTATTGTCAACCTGAATTCTTCTTGCTGTGTACCTGCTCCTAGGGGTTATACCCCCCCCCCCCCCCAGTATTCCTGATAGAACTGGAGTCAAGTTCAATTTAAAGGGATTGTTTACTTCTTATTTTTGTGTCCAAAACTTTCTGAAGATATCTCCAGCTCCTGTATCTCAATCAATCCTATTTAATATTATCATTGATCAAAGGCGTACACAAGGTGGGGGGGGGGTTCAGTAAAATCTATGGTTTCTAGTGGGTTTTAATCAAGGGAAAAAAAATCCTGTGTACACACCCCTGTCCTTGATCCCTTCCTGGCGTCCCTGTGTGACAGGAAACCCCCTGAGTATTATTCTTGTACCTTCACACACAAACACACACATTCTTACACTCCTCTTAAAGTATCTCAGATCTTGCAATATTCTTTAATAATGTTAACATTAGTGTTTAATACAACATCTATTCTCAGTGTTAATCGTTTATATCTCGACAAGCTTTGCAAGTACATATATATAATATATATATAGTGTATGTAATCCGTATACTCGAAACCTTTTTGTGATATGAAATGAATGTTGAGAATGTTCGAGTTAGTCACAAACTTGATTAAGTTGGTTGATATTGGTTACTGTATACATGTATAATCTATATCGTAAATCTATATGATCGTTAGTTTTGTCTTTTACAGTGTGTAGAGAATTTAGAAAGAGTTTATGAATATTGGTCATTTTTAAATGAAAGTGGAAAAATGAACAAGTTGAATTTAAATACGAAAATTTAATGTGTTCGATTAAAAACGTTTAAAAAATATGTCTAAAAGAATAAAAGGAAAGAAGGAAACTTCTTGAAAAATACAGAGCGTCCTATATCAAATTGGATTATCTCCAAGCTTTAATACTAAAACTACTTACACTGTACGGAATACTCAACGAACCTTGTATTTTCTTCATTCAAATTTGTATAGACTCAGCTCCTCATACGCATGTATGAATTTACTCCCATCTTCCAAAGTCTTTATTGCGATGTATGATCTAATGTGTTTGGGACACCTTGTACAAAATTTTTGAGAATGTTGAAAACTAAACTATTTTTACCTTGTCTTTGTTCTAAAATATTCTGTTCCCTTATAAAATAGCCACTATTTTAGTTACTTTTTATCTTAAGTGGTTGCATATCTAAGAAAATTAAATGAAATTGGAACTTTTATTAGAGTTTTCTATAGGCCAGCTGACAACAACTTGTTTTGAAATGAAGATTTTTGTCCTAAATGACATATTTTTGCTTTTGAGAAATTTTACATCTTAACTTCTTTGTAGATATTTATAGTTGCAAAATTGTCAAAGTGTGCGTGTTGTTCCTACCTGAACCTGGATATATAATCTCCTGCCTCTACCTGACGGGAAAATATTTTCTCCTGTCCCTTCATGAACCTGGATATCATTTTCTTCCTGTTTAATCCAGGATACATTCTACTCCTCCCACCTGAACCTGATTTTATCCTACTCTTCATAACTGAACCTGGATATATATAATCTCCTGTCCCTACCTGACCCTGGATAAATATTTTCTCCCGTCACTGCCTGACTCGGGATATATCCCCTGTCTCTACCTTACCATGGATAAATATTTTCTCTTGTCCGTATCTGACCCTGGATATATCCTCCTGTACCTCCACGAACCTGGATATTATTTTATCATATTCTTCATTACATAACCTGGATATAATTTCCTGTCTCTACCTGACCCTGGATAAATATTTTCTCCTGTCCCTATCTGACCCTGGATGTATCCTCCTGTACCTCCATGAACCTGGATATAATTTTCTTCCTGTTTGAACCAGGATACATTCTGCTCCTCCCACCTGAACCTGATTATACCCTACTCTACCTTCCTGAACCTGGATATATCCTGCACTATTTACCTGATCCTGGATATTTTCTACTCGTATTGCGGGAACCTTGATATCCCATTCTTCCTACCTAAACCTGGATATATTTTTCCATTTCTTACCTGAACCTGGATATATGCTGCTCAGTGCTCCTTCTTTACATTAACCTGGATATGCTGCTCTTCCTACCTGAACCTGGATATATTTTTCTCATTCTATACCCAAACCTGGATATACTGTTACTCCTGCCTGAACCTAGATACAATCTGCTCTTTATATCTAACCCTGGATATAATATTTATCAAGTCCCAACTGATCCTGAAAATATTCTGCTCTTCCTCCTGAACCTGGATATATCCTGCTCTTACTATCTAAACCCGGATACATCCTTGCTCATACTACTTTAACCTGGGTATATTCTGCTCTTTTATCTGAACCTGGATTTGTACTGCTCTGGAGAACCTGGATATACATATGCTGCTATTTCTACCTGGTTCTACAATCTAAATGTATTCGACACGGTATCCTGGAAATCATTTTTGGATATATCCTAGAGAAATATCCTATAATCTGTAATCTTAGTTTAAGTACGTACAGCTTCTAAAATTGAAGTTTTACCATCAGTTTTATTGATGATTTTCTTAATGTCGTCTTAATCCGTGCACGAATACCGCTGAAAATATTTAACGAGAAAACAATAGATTGGCTGAGGCCGAATCGGTGAATTCAAGCATATCTCTCTCTGATAATACCTCGGGTCGATACACAACAATTTACTTATATTTCTAAATAACCTGTCTTTCAAATTGTTGAACTCGTTTTGGTTAATAACATCTTTATAAAATAAAGAATTATTATTTATGACCGAATGGCAAAGGATTTTAGCACTATCATTTTTAGCGATGATTACATATTAATTTAATATCATTGAACTGAATTGTAAAATACATAGTAATACATGTTTTTCAGACTAAAGATGAAAGTTGAATCTTATTCACTGTATTTATTGCAAGATATATCCTCTCGTTAAACTAGAGAACCTATAAGACTCAAAATGGAGACGAACGGAGAAGATATCTCAGGGTTCCTGGAACCTGATCTGTTACAACAAGCTCTGCATGAGGTTTTTATTAACAGATATTGATTGTTTGTAATCGCTCCGTCCTATCATAAGGGGTAGTTATATACAGAAGGAGCAAAAGTTTTGTAGGAGTTCTTTGTAGAAAAAACGTGAAAAGTATATACCAAGAACGTATTTATTACAAATCTGTTAAAGTTCTTAACTTAAAATTTGATATTTCTAGGTTCATGATCTGACTGGAGAACAGAATAGAGAGGTATTCTCACAGATATATTCAAGACAGGTTCGACATTTTTTAATTGTCTAAAGATCGATCATTATCACAATGTCCCTAATATGTATTTAGAAGGGGCTCAGTTACATTTGCCATAATACATAACATACTTATTTTTGTTTGAAGAAATAACTTCAAATTGTAACTACAATTCGAATTAAGTAACAGCTCATAAGCAATAAGGTTAAGGTACTTCTCTATTGAAAAAGTATTGTAATGTCATTGATTCTTTACCAAGGTCTTTTTACTAGTATTAGTGTTCATATTTCTCCCGGGGAAGCAATGTTAGAAAACTAAAGTTGGGAATTTTCATAAGTAAAATTTGGGTCCGTCCTAGTGAACGATTTTTGGACCCCCCCCCCCGGGCCCTCCCCCCTCCTATCATCTTTGTACATGACCAAATTAGTATTT